GGCATAATGACAAAATGCATTCATCTGATGTAATAGAACATTTTCCAAAATGCATACAATGATGTACATAAGTACCAAAACAGTGTGGCAAAAAATATTGTCACATTAAGAATAACTTTTATCAAAAAAGAGTATTAAAAAAAGACAAAATTGCTCAGTAAACTTGGACCCATCTAGCTGAATGTATATCTTGTCTTTTGAGTTGCTATTTGCATATAGCTCTCAAAAGAAAGATTTTGTACTACAGCTACACAGATTGAGTTAATAACTACTTTAATTGTACATCAGCACCCACAATCAAATTTGGAAAGTATTTAAAAACTAAAAATATTTTACCATGAACAAGAATAAAATGTTTATTGTAAATATTAGGAATGATAACTGTATAAAAAATTATTCATTATAAATAATCTGGATGAATCTTGTGTGCAAACAGGTTAGCAGAAAGAGAAAAATTGTTTTTAAAATATAAAAACAAGCTCTTTTATATTCTGAATAAAAATTTAGAACAGTATTAAGGTAATTAATTCCTGTGATGCTTTTAAAACTTAGATTGTATCTACTGAAATGCCTTATTGCTGAACATTAAACAATTTATTAAAAATTTCTAAATGTCCAATAACTATAAACATATAATAGATGCATTTGAACTTTAAATTTTTATTTCTAGCAAAGGAAAATCTGTATCTTCTCACAAAATGCTTCAAGTCATTTTCATTGAAATTAATGCTGAAAGGCTATAAATTTGTGCAACTGCACATATGATATTAAGTAAAAATAAAATTACTATTATAATATATTAAAAAAAAACATTGATACTGAAATTTCATTATTTTAAGTTTCACTACTGATGTTGATAGAATATAAGAAAATTTTCTTTTGTGTAGATTAAAATTAAGTTTGACTTCTATTTGTTGAATGAAAATTTTTTAACCATATAAATAAAATAAAAACTGAATACAGGCATTTAGAGCTGTAATTAACTATTTAAGTATTTTTAATATTTCACATGCTTTTATATTTGATGTCATTATAAAAAGAATTAAAAATTTCACTATTGTAATTAATTATAAAAAAGAAGAATCCATCTGTTACAAAATTTATCACAATATTTATTTAAATACAGAGATTTAAAAAACATTTTTTATAATTTACATGCAGATGGAATATGTTAAGGATATTTATCAAGTCTATTTTCAGTTAATTTAGAAGAAAATTCAGTGCAAAGCCTAATAAAATGTATAATTTCAAAATATAAAATAGTTTTCACAAGAGACAAAAAGAAAATTTCAGAATAAAATTATTAACACATTTTCAGCTGAATCTCATAACATTCTATATTAAGAACAAATTTATGCATTTCTTAGCTTTTTGCTGTAATGTATTTGCATTTTACCTTAAGTGCATATCATTTATCATAAAATAAGGTAGTTTCTATTTTTTAATTTAAACAATTTATTACATAAAAAATTATAAATATGTCTCAGAAATGAAACATTATAGATTTTCCTGTGATTATAAATAATAATTAAATAAATAAACTAATTTAAAAAGTGAAAATAAACCAATAAGTAATATCCATAAATATCCCATTTATAATGCAGCTTCTGCTTCGTAAAAAGATAAAGAATACTACAGTCAAAAAACAAGGCTAAAATCTCCCATTTTCTAAAACATACTTAAAGTGTTATTTGTTTAATTTTTGTAAATTACGCTCATTATTTGCTGTATGTATTTTATTTGTAATGAAACATACACTTATAAAATCTATTCAGCATAAAACACATTTTGAGGTAAATATAAAAATTTCAAAATAAACATTTTTTCTAGATATATTAAAAAGCAACCAAACAAATAAATTAGTATTATAAGGTCTACCGGAAAGTTCTGTCCGTTTCTATGACAACAATTTTGGACACGTAAGCACATGTTTATTTTGGCGCATGTACAGCTCTCTATTTTTATCACTTAACCTATATATACTGACGTAGCAAATTAACTAACTTCACATTAGTCTTAAGTGTGAAGCGATAGTGTAGCCATGGCTACTGATAAAGATCATTTACGCCACTGTATTTTATACGAATTTCAACAAGGAAGAAATGATACAGAAGCATGTAGAAATTTATTGAAAGTGTTTAATGAAGGTACAGTTTCTGATAGAACATGCAGAAGGTGGTTCAAAAGTTTGAAACAGGTGATTTCAACCTTTCTGATAAGCCACGTTCTGGGAGACCATCTTTGATTGATGACGATGTTCTTAAAAGCATGTTAGAGCAAGATCTTTTTCTCTGACAACATCGAAGATCGCAGAGAGGCTTAATTCAGCTCAGCAAACTATTTTGGACCATATTCGGAAGATAGGATTGGTATGGAAATATTCAAGATGGGTGCCACATGAATTAAGTCAGAAGAATTTGGATGATTGAGTCATCATATGCACATCTCTGCTTGCTCGAAACAAAATCAAGCCCTTCTTGAACCGGATGATAACTGGGGATGAAAAGTGGATTACCTACGAAAACACCGTAAGTAAAAGGGCATATTGTGAACCCGGAAAACCTAGCCCTTCCACCTCTAAACTAAATTTGACTCTGAATAAGAGAATGTTGTGTATATGGTGGGACATTCGAGGTCCAATACACTATGAGCTTTTAAAACCGAACGAAAAGCTCAATTCGGAGTAATATTGTCAGCAACTGGATAATTTAAAGACAGCAGTCCAAAAAAAGAGAATGGTGATGTTCAACAGGAAGGACATCATACTGCATCATGATAATGCCAGGCTACATGCTGCTTTGGGGGCTCGTCAAAAAATTGCAGAACTAAGCTGGGAAATTCTGTCACATCCATCATATTCTCCAGAATTAGCACCCTCCGACTATCACTTGTTTTTGTCGTTACAAAATTTTTTGAAGGACAAAAAATTCAGAAATGAAGAAGATATCAAACTAGCACTTATTCAATTTTTCGCATCAAAAAATGAAACATTTTTCAAAAATGGAATATACAAATTGCCCTCATGCTGGCAAGAAGTCATTAATAGTAATGGCAATTATATTTTTTAATAAAGTTTATTGATGCTAAGAAAAATTTGTGTTTTGTTTGATTCAAAAAATGGACAGAACTTTCCGGTAGACCTTAACTGTAGAACTTGATCATGTTTAACTATTAGATATGCCAGCAAGCATTTAATCATTAGACTACTTTCAGGTAGATTACAGTTTCTGTTAAATTAGCCTGGATAAATATTTTTTTTACTACTTTATTTTGATAAAATAGAATTATGGCCTTAAGAAATTCTATTGTTTCATAGTCAATAATTAATTCTCATAATCAAAATGTTATTTAATGAAATTCCATCAAGCAAATATACATATTGATACTTACTTAGTATGACAATATGATTCTTTAATATTTTGTTGAAATTGTTAACAATTTTTGACTTATGAATATTATTGTGGACTCTTTTGATAATATAAGAGCCCAGATTATTTTTCTGAAGCATTTATGTTGTACTTTAAAGCTATCTTCATAATGCTGTTCAAATCATTATGTCCAAATCTTAATAATGTTCAAATCGGTTTTAAAACAAAATTTGTATACCTGTTCTCCATGTTTTCAGATTTATCATCCTTATACATTATTTTTGAACTCTTATTCAATTGACATTATCACTGATGACCATGAGCAGAACTTCTCAACTTGTAATATATTTCTATATGATAAAACATGCAATGAGAAGCAACACCCATGGATAGAAAATTACCAGTATATATGTAAAATCTTAAAGAATAATTATATAGGATATTTTCAATTATTAATTTCATAGAGTTCTGACAAAATTGTGAAAGTTTTCCATTTTTTTAAAATTAATATAAAAGTTACAATAATTATCACATCAGAGTTTATAACAGTGTACCTTCAGAAACATTTACTTTATATAATTATGATTTATTTTCACAAGCATTTAGTGTATAGCTATATAGTATCAATTAAATGACTTTCACATTTGCATTTTTAAAATATACTTGAACGTTTATTACTCAGGCACCTGCTAATTGTTTCTGTAAACTTGTGGAAACTGCTGAAGCAAAAAATATTCAAATATTTGTTTTTATATTTGAATCATCTTCAGTAAATAAAAATGGTTATTTTGAACTGTTTTTTTATTATTTATTTATTTATTTATTTATTTATTAATAAATAAAATAGCTATCATGAGTTTACAAATAGTGAATATTTATTACATTTTTTGTACAACTTTATGAAATGTTTTCTTACTTAATTTACTATGTTACATTTAATTTCTCAGTAGTCTAAAAAACATTAATGCAGTTTACTATACAATGCACGATTTTTTGTTAAGTTACAACGTAAGATATAAAGTTTAATATGATTGAGAATTTTATTTTCATTTAAATTTATAAGAAATTTAAAATACCTATTTATGAATGAGATTGTAAGAGTTATCGAAGGTCAGATGATCTAAAAGATACTAAAATAAAAGTTTCAAATTCAGGATATATGTTAACTTCCCTAATTACTGAATATGCAGAGTATTAATTTGCACAAAACACTTTCTTATTTTCATTAGTATTAGCTAATTTTCAGGTAAATTTTGATATATACTTTTTTTATAAATTCTGGATTTTAGCTGCCAGAAATCAAAGACTAATTATAAAGTTTGAATTAAAAAAATATTAATTTAAAATAATTAAAAATTTCATGGGAGCATATATATAAAGCATTAAGAAGTATTATTATTTCTATGAAAAATGAAATGTAAATAAAATATTACCTGAAATGTGTTCATTTTTCATACTTGGTTAATTTTCAACAAATAATAAACAGGTTTTACATTTCAAAAAGTGTGTCTGATCCTTCTCTTTCAAACATTTTTAATAACACATCTGCATCACAATGCTGTACTTTAAAACTTGTATAAAAGATTAGTTATTGCTGCTTTGCACACATAATAAATAACATTTCCTCAGTAATTCATAACATTTATAGTTTATTCCCCTTCTTCCACCAACAGAACATAGCACCAACAAATAATATAAAAATTTAGTACAAATACAATAATGGATTCTAGCAAAAATTAAAAGTAACATCTTAAATATGACTAAAATTTCAATAAAAATTTCTTTGTTATTTCTTAAGTTTCCTATTCCTCAATTCAAGAGGCTTAGGAATAGTTATAGTCATACAAGAATGCTTATTCTTTATGTCTGAAATTAAAAAAAAAACTTGCACATACTTAAAAGAAGGCATTTGTACAAATGTGCTTCTATCTTACATGGTGTGTCCAACAAGTTCTCTTTAATTTTTTTTACATATATGAATATAATCTACATTTTTTTAAAAAACTGATTCAAGGGAACAACTTTAACAAATTCATTTTTAGATGTGCTCTTGCATCATACCAAGCGATCACCTTGTACATTATGATGTGTCCCAACAGTATGAACAGCATGTTTATGTGCCTAAAAATGATAAAAAATAACTGCATTACACAATAATCATGTAATTAACAATCATTTAAAAATATGATAAATTTCATAACAATTTTAAGTACATAATACATCATGAAATTTTTTAATCAATAAAAAATAATAAAAACAATATTATTAAAAATGTATATTGTTCATTGAATTATAAATAAAATAATTAAGTAGAATAATTATTATTTTATTTATATTATTAATAATTATTGCATTAATTATTTACATTATTAATAATTACATACATACAATAATTTATTAATATTTTATAAAAATATGTCGTATGAGCATTACTTATTTTCTACATACATTCAAACTTTATATTTGTTAATGCTCATACTTTAATACACATAACAAAAAACAAATCTTATCTAAAATCTAAATCTTATCTAAAACTCACATAGATAATCTTGATTTCTGAAATTGCAAAATAAAGCAGGATTTCTCAAACTTTTTTCAATTGGGGACTACTTTATAAATTAGAATTTTCTCCAGACCATCTTTTTTACCCTTTGAAAACAATTACCAGTAGCTTATATTTTAAAAATACAATTAGTAAAAAACTAATTTAATTTTATATCAGTATTAAATAAATTGAACAAAATTTGCATTTGTTTTTAATCAAGGCAAGGAGGATAATTTTAGCAAATAAAGATTAAATAAATGTTGCCACTCATAAACTAATGAGGTAGATAAGGCTGTCAATTCCTGCACAGTGATGCTATGTTTCGATGCATGCTGGTAAGATTAAAACCTGAGATCAGCACATAGATAAAGATTTTGATACTTTGTTTTTATTTGATTTGGTGACAAAAACCCTTTCTCATGTAGCTATGTGGAAGCAAACCAAATTAGAATTTTTAAATTCCCAATGAAAATGGAATGTAGTGAATTGTACAATTCACTACATTCCATTTTCATTGGGAATGAGCCCAACAGTGCCAGGTGTGTAGCGAGCAAATAATTGCGAGAAACATCACAATCATTGCACTTTAAATCTCTCTTTTGTTGCTAAGCGTAGATTCGGAAGTCCCTAGGCAGGGTAGCTGGTAATAAAATGTCTGTTTTGGGAGAAACACTAACCGGCAGTTGGCACATAAAATTTCCAGTTTCTGAGATATTCAACTGTAATTTGATATACGCAGTTAATTTGAATTTTATTTTTTGTCTTTTTTTAGAAAGACAATGTTTTGGACCACAGTTTTGGAAATGTCTTAACTGTCAATTCCTATGTCTTAATTGTCTTAACTGTCAATGACACAGTTTTGGAACTGTCTTAAAGGAATCATACAGCAATACCAAAATGGATAGAAAATTAAACTTACTTCATCTGGCCTCCTATCAGTTCCTTTAAGTAGTAAATTGTTAAACTCTTGTTCTAATAACTGCCTAGCCTGGAACGAAAGAAAAAGTTAAATTAAAGAGGGGGGGAAAAAAACTTCGGCTAAAGCAAACAGCATATTTTAAAAACTGTGCATGAAATGTCTAGCAGCCTTTATCAATATTATATAGAAAAAGACACATGAAACACAAAGTAAAGATTTAAAGTCTAGTTACTTTTTTGCAAAACAAAATTGTAACAATAATAAATATAAAAAAATTTAATAGTTCAAGCATTTAAATAAAATTTTAAATTGGTTCTACCTATAAAAAATTAAATACAAGAAATAAAAATAAATTATGGAGCATTTATTTATACATCATTAATATACATAAATATAAAATAAATGCATGTTCTCAAATTCTCTAATGTTTGCTTACAAAATGTATCTCAAATATAAAAATATTTTCATCAGCAATATTCAGTTAATATTCAAAATTCAATTAAAATTTTATTTTGCTTAGGACAGGAAAAAATTGTAAAATTTCTTCAGACATTGATTAGGAAGCTGCATGATGAATAAAATAATGAATGGAATTAATGATATATAACTCACTTAAAATAATAACAATATTATTTTTTTTAGATTTCAAAGAAAAAGCTGTACTAATTTTTATGTTATATGACATTGTTAGACACATCACACTTTCATATGTTATATAAAAGTGACTTAAAGCCACATGAAAATAGCAGGGTTTTAGAATAACATGCTTAAAACAGCTTTTCTTCAAAACTTATACATGTGTTATACAAATAAATTTATATGGATAAATAATTATATTATGTAATTTTGATTTGTATATCCATGTAACAGCAATTTATTTTCTGCACAAATTGTATTCTATCTTTATTTTTTTATCTTACATGCTAAAAGCATTTTTTTAAAGTTAATTATTAAATACCTATGTAAATGACATTTTCAATACTATCTAATTAAGTATGAACCATTCATTTTCCGTATTAGTGTCACTGGACCTACATTACAGGCTTAATTGTGGACTACCCTTACTTTATAAACAAGGGAATTATATTTATAATATCAAAAGAACTAAGATGGGAAAATATATACAAAACACAACTATATAACATCAAAAATATATTCCACTTACTTGTGTATTGGTTGTAGGTATTTGTAATGCTAAAGCCATTGCATTGTGATCAAAACTATCGTCCAAAGCAATGAAAGCACCATGAACACCCGATTCTATTAAATTGTTGGAAAACTCTTTGAGTCCTATGCTATCGACCCATTTTATAACCCTATCATTTGACCAAACAAGAACATCTAAAGAGAGAATGAGATACAAAATTAATAAAAATAAAATCCAATTTAGAAAATTTAATTTCTTTAAATTTTATTATATACTAGCAGCTATGTGGCCAGCCTTCATCTGGCTTTTAAATGTACCCGAAAAATGCCTGAAGGGAACACCAAATGTGAAATTTAAGAACTGCGCAGAATTTTACTCTGCAAGGCAACTTCATCAACCCCCCCCCCAAAAAAATTTTTTTTACATGTAACAAAATTACAATGAAATAGGCAATATCCCTTAATACAAATATTAATTATCCTAATAAATAAATTAACCAATTTCCCATTGCCTTCTCTCAACAATCGCCCAGTATCCTAGAGAAACATTAAATTTAAAAACTGCACAGAATTATCTCCCTCATTTTTCCAAATGGCAACAGTGCTGATTTTCAACAGTCACAGGCCAGTATACAATTGAATGAAAAACTGTTGCCAAAACCACATTTCTTAAACAATGAAACTATTTATAATGATATGATAAAATTGAAAAAATACAATTTAAAAAAAATCTGATTCGAATTTTGAAAAAAAAAAAAAAAATCGCTTTGAGGTGCACTGGCTCTTGTATAGATGCACCTATATACCAAATTTTGTAGCCCTGGTTCTATTAGCTTATGTGCAGCATGAACAAAAGACAGACTTTTTCTTTTATTATATGTGTAACACACTAACCCTATTGCTATTATTTCTCTTTAAGTGATAACATATTAAAAATTACAACTTAATTGCCTAATAGCTCAATAAATAAAATTAGAGAATATAAATTCATGAATAAATTAGTATGAGATGTATATTAATGACTAAATTATATGACTACACACAGAGGAAAACAAAACTCTTTCTTAATTGCAGAATTAAATTATGGATTTCTATTAATAAACATTTATTCAATATGTAGCATAATAAAATACATAATATAATCTTGAATAATCACATATCAGAAATACTCTTGAATAATCACATATCAGAAAACTTTCATTCCAAAAAATATCAGCTGTATCATGAATAAAATAGCATTTTAAATTTATAATACATAAAAGCAAATTATAATATTGTTTTAGAAAAACTGTACCTTTAATTTCACTTTCTGTCATCTTCCGCCTTTCTTCTAAAGATTCCCTATCATAATTTAACCTCTTTAAACAACTGACACCGTATTGCAAACTAGTCCTGTAATTAGAAAAGAGATTGCAAATTACAGTGGAAAGTATCTCTTTTCTTCTGTTTTGCAAAGGGGGAAGGTGCATTTGAATTACGCCTAATACCTTCAGGAAATAAAATGTATTATTCCTACACAAAGATATACAATAGCAATCATATAGTTTGGCAGGTACATATATGTTTCAAAATTATTATAGATATTGCCATGAATGAAGCTATTACAGCTTTTAATAAAAGTATTGTAGGATTATTAATAATAATGGAAAAGTTAAAAGTGAAAATTTGACAACAGTTAGAAGAGTAAAGCATTCAGTGCAAACTATAATCATAAAAGTCAAGGTTCACTTTTACAATTTAGATAAATGTTCAAGGGACTTAATGTGCATATTGTATCTTAAGATCCTGTGCATACACTAAACATATAATTTATAAGTTTGGTTAAAAAAACATGCAAAAATAATTTTGGCCAGTTTAACAAGCAAAATCTAAAAATTAGTATTTATGATTCTTTAAAAGTATATTTTCAGATTGCATCATTAAGTAGCATCACATTGTTGGGAAAAAAAAAATAGTTTCTGGTGATTCATTTAGTTTCACTGAGATGAATATAGTCTTGCAGATGGTGAGTTCTGGTATTTATTTTTTAGTTATCTCTTAACTTCAATTTTAAGTGTTCATAAAATATGTCTATTCACATATTGAAAAAAAGTGACATTTCCTATTCACACTACCTTAATAATAAGACACAAAAATATAAAAGCAAATCCATTTATTCAAGATGACATTTATAGTGAAAAATACATAATTTTTTTCTTTGAGAACTGCTATTTCCCCACTTAAAAAAAAAATAATTCTTTCTGTCCTGGTTTTGCTTTTTTGATGACATTTTTGCACTGTTTAATGATAATAATAAGAATATGACAAATACTTTTTTTATCTGTTATGAATGTAACTGATGCTGGCCTTTGACTGAAATTTGAAACCAAATTCCTTAACTTTCTTCCTTTCCTTGATATTTTAAATACTCATAATAGTTTGAATTTTAGCAAAAATCTTTTTCTGTTTGGCTTTATCCTTATGTTAGGACCTGATATTCTGCTTTTTCATAAAAGGCTATTTTATTACTATGTTTATTATTACAATGTTTATAATGTTTTTTTAGCCCAAAAGGTGTTAGCCCAGGAGAGCTATTAATTTAGTTTTGGCATTTTGAGTTGATTCACTATAAACAGCAAATCACTTTTTAAATTGTTGCCACCAAATATTAAAGCCCTGTATTATACTTAAAGAAATTAAATAATGAAGAATCTGCATAAACGCATGTTTTTCACAATGTGATAAAACAACAGTACCTAGACCTATCAAATTTTGAATAACGTAAGTCTCCACCCAAATCTGGAAGCACAAATTTGGAATTTGTTTTATTATCTATTTCATATTTTATAAAGCCTTTATGAGTTTTTGATTAAGAAAGTAAACAATTTCAAAGAGAGCAATGGCAAAACTGTAGGAGGGGGAAAAAAAAATTCCGTACAGTGTTGCCATTTATCTCCAGCGCCCAAGGCTGTGTATTGGAAATTCTAAAGATATGCTCTTTTAAATATTTATGATATTGCTCTTGAATTGAATTTTATGGTTTAAGTGCAAAGAACATGATATTTAATAAACAAAGGTAACACACAAAACATTAAAAAACACCCTTTGGGCGTAATATAAAATTTGAAAGCTTTTCAGATTTTTTTTTTTACGCCAGATTTACTATGTTGCAACTCTCAGGGCTACAACGTGCAGGTTACAAATTTAATAAAGATTTTAATATGGATATCTCCCACAAGCTGAAAACGTTATATTACTCTAACTAGTGCATACATATAACCGAGTGAAAAGAGAATTTTTCCGCTTAATGAAAAAGAATAAAAAATATGCTTTCTTAAAGAAAAAAATAATAATAATAATAATAAATAGTCCAATGAAATGCGGCGCTCCTTCTGTGGACTTCATCCAGTCGTTACGTAATCGTTTGTCTGCAGCAGCCGTCTCCAACAAAAATTCTTTAGAGATAAACGATTGATAGAGGCTTTTCTTCCTGAACTATTCATGAAGCCATTTAAGAACAATCATAGTAATCTCGTCATTTCATTCCCCTAACTCTCAGTTAAAAATTTGCTGGGATTCTCCAGAAATTCAACTTTCAGCTTATTTGCTCACTTTCAACAGTTCTAAAATTTTGATACTTCCTAATTATTATGGCCTCTGGTTTTTATATGCCAAATTGGTGCCAGGATTATTCCCAAGTTCATGTTTTTTCTCATATAATATTTTGTACTTGCTCTGTTCCCACAGCTGTTTTTGATATAGCATTAGAAACCTTTTTTTTCCAAAGGACTTTTGCCACATGAACTGCACAAGGAAGATTCATGATGATAGCAAACCATGCCTCACTGATTTTTATTCCAAAACTTAGTGGAGCACCACATTCTTTCAGCATTTTACATATGAGATGTTATTGTTGGATCAACAAAATGAAACTTAGTGGCTCACAGTAAAATATCTCTAACCTCCTTTTTCCAGTTTCTCCGTTTTATAATACTTGTTAACAGTCTAAATACATCATCAATCCTTTTTAGATACAGATTGCTTTTAGATCATCTATTTTTTTATGGGTATGGTTGCCATTGTGTTGAGAATCTGAGCAAGAAAGAATCCATCAGTTTCTCAGTGTAACATGACATATATTCAATTTTGTCGAAGAACTCTGCAGGCTTTGTTTTTTCCTCATACAAACATATTTTTTTATATCTATAATTGTTTCAGGGCTATTAGCATGTCATAATAGATGTAGAAATTACAGCTCCCTCATAAAACTATTCCACCTCGTAATCAGTATCAGTTCCTATGCCCATAAAATATAAATATATTGCTCCTTTGTTACAAACAGTAGTATACTGAAACCACTGAACCAGTTATCAAAACATATGCTTTTCCTTTACTTGCACATTTTCATGTTGAAACTCCAAATGATTTCATTGATATATTGATATGTAGTTTCATTAATTTAATACTTTCATTTTCACATATTCAAATGTAGGTAAGATGAACCTTTTTTGGAAAGAGAGAGATACTGCCCTTCTGAAATCTTGGTAAATCAAGCATTTTAAACACTTTTTTGAGAAAGGAAAATACTTTATTAAGTGGAATACTCAGAGACTCTCCTCACAGTTAAAGAATTATGAGTGACTGTGAATTATTGGCATATATAATGAAAAAACTAAATATGCTAATATATGGTTTGCTTGAAATTCTCATCATCAGCAAACTATAAATGATCATGGTTACAACAGCCAACCATTTAAAGATGGTTTATGTTGATGGTTATTGATAAACTTGGCTGAGGTGGTAATAATAAGAAAGTGCCCAAATTTTATTTATTAATAATCATAGTTTAGGCCTTTAAGATCATATTTTAAATACTACTTAAAGTAAATTATAACATTCCTTATCAGTATAGTTTAAAATATATTGGCGAGATTAAGGAAGTATTGTAGAAGTATTGAAATTTCTCATTAACGAATATGAACCTTATATCAGAAAGAATAAAAAATCTTCAGTACTTATCATGACTGCTCTCTTAAATACTTTGAAAGTCATCCAAAAAGAAACTTATTCAGCTGAAGAGTTAGATATTTTCAAACCTTGTGCATTCACAAAAATATGCCTAATTCAGTTAACTTCAGTTCCTACTTCAATTCAGACATAATTTCAAATTAAATCTCTTACAAAGCTTTCAAAATTTTAATATTTTAAGTTTTATTTTTCCTTTTGATTTCCATTGTTTTTTTTTCTGCTACAGATGGCATTATGTTAATTTCATCTTTGGCACAATCTATTGATGTTTGACATCTCCTATTTATATGACTCTTCAACTACTCTGTTATTTCTCAGAACATAAATAAGCATCAGTATTGAATTCCCTTCTCTAAGATAATCTGGTAATCTGAGACTAAGAGTATAGTCATCTTAGAGAAGGTTCACTAAGATAATTTCAGGTAGAGAAAAAAGTTCTTAAAAAAAAAAAAAAAAAAAAAAAAAAAAAAAAAAATAGAATAAAGATGAATTGATGTTGCCAAGCAGTTTAAAATAGTGCATTATGATTCAAACCTTGGACAATACTTCAATCTAACAGAATGTGTTCCAGATGCAAGTAAAGGGAATATGATTATATAAAACTAAATATAAGTATTATTATATAAAAACAGATAACAATACAGAAAAGTAACTATAAAATATACTCCTAGAGCCTTTAAAATTAAGCCCTACAAGAATTTAGATTATGAATCTTAAAGATTTTTAATATTCAATTGTTTCCTCAAAACATTTGACTACTTTTGTTAATGATGGTCATACCATGGAAATAAACTTTCCTTAAATTAATCAGAAACGGATTAAAATTCTAAGTACCTTTGAAATTAGAAATTGTGCAGCTTTTCTTTCAATAAATAAATAAAGGATGATTATTCACATATTTTTTTAGCATTACTCAGTGCTCATCAGAGATATCTATCAAACTTTAAATGTCAAAAATTTAATACAGCAACCTTTGATGTGAAATTTACTGAACATTTTGAAATGCTTTTGCTTTTATTCCCTTTCTTCTGTTGTATGCATCAACTATTACATTCTCTCTTTATGTTTTTAACAAAAAGTGCCAAAAATGTAAAAGGCTAACAAAGAAGGCTATACATACCTATGAAAGTTATCTACCATCTTCAGGTGCACTCGAAGATCTTTCTTTGTTAAGTGATCTAACATTCTGGCATCAACTAAACATTCCATAAATGTTGATCGATATTGCGGAAGTCCTAAAGATGGTAACCATTCATTACCCATCCACTCATGATTCATTTCACCAAAAGCTAAGCTCTGAAACATAATAAAGTGCATTATGTTAAAAAAAAATCAGTATAATGTTTAAAACAGATTAAAAGAAAAATTATTTTTATATGATCTGATTTTACTCCTATTATTAATTATAAAATAATAATATATTGTTCAGAACAAAGTATTACATTACTATATATTGATTATTAAAATATAATAAGCATATCAGATTATTAATGAGTGATTATACATATAAAAAGCAAAAAATAATGCACAGAAATATTTAAATACAGAGATAACACAATTTTACATTTACAAAAAGTTAAAATTTAAGCAAATGCAAAATTTACAATTCTTATTACAAATAAAAAAAAGTAATGCTGTGGGAAAATCTAATTAAATAGAATGGAAAAGTAGTCCATAAATAAATCAGTATGCTTTCGTTACATTATCTAAAAAAATACACGAGTTACATAATTTCAATAGGATTCTAATTTCTTTTGACAAAGTAAATGATATATTAAATAATCTATTAGAAAATAAATTATATATATATGTATAATCCTCAGTTTAACCTTATTACTCGATTAAATCTTAGAAAAAATAGCCAAATAGGAAACTAAAATATGTAAAGTACATCTATTATTTTATTTTCATGTATCATTGGGAAAAACAAACAATAAACGCTTTCTAACAAATCTCTTAACATGACTGAAAAATAGTTTGTTAATACTTTTTTAATATCATTTGCATTTGAATTCATTCCACAACTTAAATTACAAAGTAATTTCAAATAAAAAGTAATAAACATCTCTTTTACAAAATTAAAAATATTCTGTGTACGATACCATAACTAGTCTTGTGTATGAAAATGAAACTCAGAATAGTGAAGACCTTGAAATAAAAGTGACAAGAAAAATTGTAAAATATTTAAAATATTTGGTTTTGGTATAATATTCAATGGAACCATAAGGTAAACAAGGACTGTTAGATACAAACCTCCAAAAAATTCTCTGGAAGAAAATAATTGGTTGAAGCAATGGATCTGGAGAACAGACTTTTAATAAAATGAAAAGAATAATTACGAAAATATAAACATACATAATACTGTGTAAAGAAAATAAAATGGCACATAACTGTTTGAAATGCAAATTTATGCTGTTTTTCTACTCTGTTACCTTAAATTAATTGGTGTTATGAGTATAAACAACTGAGAACTGTCTGTGAAGACTTGAAGGAAAAAATAAGTAAATAGTTGCTAGGAGTTGCCTTTAGGATCAAGGTGGCAGATTTCAAAAAAATTAAGGTAAGTAAAAATTCTTACATGAGATTCAAAATTTTAAATTTGAAACTACAGTAATAAAAGTTGTTCATAGTAAATTAAAATTAATTAAGAATTATTTAGAATCACATGTTAGACAAGAAAGATTACACAGTCTTCCCATTATTTCTGTCCTGTCCTAAAAGTAAAAGATTATGCAGAATTAAAGGCATTAATTCAGAGTATATAATCAATGCTTTTTGTGAAATGAAAGTTACGAAAGTACAATAAAAATAATTATAGATATTTATTTATCAATATATGCTAACAATATTTCATTCTAGTGCAGATTAAAACTATTTCATTATATTTGTTTAATTATTATTGTCAAACTAATAAGTCAAATATACATTCGCACACAATACTTGAAAAACTAGTTAAAGCACTGCCCGCCCATACAGATGAAATTTTCCTCAAGTGTTGATATTACTTACAGTTCTGGAAGGTTTCGGAGCAGATGGACTAGTCAGGGCAACCATTTCTTGAATAGCAAGCCTCAGTTTCAAGCGATGTAGAGGATTGCTGATTCCAATTTCTCTCTGGATTTCAGTATCAGATAATGCAGACATAATAGCACCACTCTTAACATTAGCTCTGCAAGCAGCAACATACCAGGCAGGCATACCTACCCAAAGCTGAATGAAAGACAGATTAATTAAGCTTCATGCAATGTATAAGAACTCCAACATCATATTTCAAATGCTTACATTTAAATATAATTTAGAACTATAACTGTAGGTCTGTTAATATATTAATAATTTTTCAAGAATTCATAAGAATTTTTAAAAACACTATATCATGGAATGAAAATGCTTTTAATATTTTATCCTTGATCACTCATTATTTTTTTTTTTATCAGGACAGACACATAGAAATTAAGAAGCCTGAGAGTTTTTAGCAGCTGAATATTCTGTCCATATTGTCTAAAGACAACTGTAGAGAACATAAAATAGAAAACATGTTACATGAATATTATACATAATATTCTGGTCAATATTCTTTAAAAAAAAGCATCCATGTTTGTTCAGCTTTTTATTTTGGATAAGTTCAACTTGTCAAAATTTTGTATAATATTTCTGACATAATTTGGTAATATTCTCATTTTACATCTGTTAAAGTTAATAAATGATAATTAATTTTATTAAATTTTTATTTAAAAATAATATTGTTTTATCTGAAATCTCAATAATAAAGATTCTTTATTTTAAAATAAAATTTTATTATTATTATTTATATCTTAAAATGAAAACCTTATATTCATTAAATAGCAAAGTATAAAGATGTTTATATGAGCTTATTCACTTTTTCTCATATTTATTTTCCAGTAAATAATGTGTGCAGTTTTAAATTTACACTTCAGAATATTTAAATAAAGTTTATTAACACATAATTTTGAGGCGAGGTTTGGTTTATTTTATTACAGCAAAGCACTCAAGAGCTATCTAAGGGAAGAGATGCCTTTGTGGAGGACTTTCTAAGGTTAACTGGCTTGTAATATGTGTTACACAATGGAAAAATCACGAAAACGCCCATGCAGCCAACCGTTTGCAAGGATTCGAACAGGGGATCGAACTACCAGTGTTCAGCGACTTTACTGTTAGGCTGCTGGTGGGCCTTAATTTTATTTTGAGAGATTTAACAAATATTTTTCTATAAAAATTGGATCTACTAGAAATTATTATTTTTTTAGGTTAGTTTAAATTACATCAATTATTACTGCAAGATACATGGATAGGAAATCTGAGTAATCAGGATAGAATTTAAAATTTTGTAAAAATTAATAGTTTTATATGCACAGGAAAAATAAATAAATGATTCTCACTTCCAACCATGCAACTATTGTTGGGCCATTCCACAGAGCAAAAGGGGTGCCTGCTTTCATTGACTCAGCTAAAAGTTCATGACGAACATGAGAAGAGTGGAAGCTGATAAAAAAGTTATATTTACTAACAAGTAAAAGACAAATATATATATATATATAAATTTATTAATGTTCATTAGGGAAAAAAATCACATAAACTCTGAGGCAGCCTGCAAGCTCTTTTAGCTTGATTATAAAATATATATATATATATGCACATAGGAAAAAATTGAATTTAATTAAATAAATTAATTAAATTTTAATACAAACTTAATTAAATAATTATTTGCACCATTGCTGCAAGGAATGAAATTTAAATTTAAACTAATTAAATTTAAATTTTAACAAACACGTATAAAAGTAAAAAAGTAAAAAAAGCAAATTTAAAGCCAAAATTAAAAAAAGCAAATTTAAAGCCAAAAAATAATTAAAAAAATTATTTTTAAAAAATGTGTAAACATATAAAAGATTTAAAAGATTAATTCTCGAACTAATCTACAATATCATTTAAATTCAGAAAGCATAAGCAAATCAAGTGCAAAATCAATCCATGAAAATAAATATAACTAATATTAGCAAATTAGAATTAATCCAAACAATGTTTTTAAAGAAATTTCTACGACTAAATTAATTTGCATAAGTGAATGACTTGTTGAGCAAGGCAGGAGACAGATCTTATCAAGGGGAAGTTGCCCTCCAAATCTAAATCTCCAATCATTCAATTCGTGTTTCGTCATTCATGCAGGCAAGGGTAAAAGTCAAAACCAAAAGTAAAAAGTGAAGAATGTCCAAAAAGATATACCAATAAAGTGGTATCCTTAGAAATTAGTTGCAAAATATAAATAAATATGAAATTTAGATAATCAATAAACGAAGAAGATTTTACATAATTATGAATATCCCCCCACAACTTTTGAATGGTACATAATAGAACCATAGCAATTATATGAACATTTAGGTAAGAAATATGCAATCCATTGACATGTTTGTTTATAGTACACCTGCTAACATATTGCTAATTAATTCATGAGAGATAAGCATGTTCAATCAACAGCACATTATCATTTTCTATTATATAGCATATATTACTGATGTGGTGCCATGCCATTTCAAAAGTTGTAAAGCATGCATAGACTTTTCTAAGAGTTCTGTCGAGTCAATATAATCATTAATCAAACTACCTTAAATATACTTTTTTTTTTGTTGTAATTTTTATTATTACAGTATTTTTATGTTTTATCAATGATAGATTCATGAATGCATATATCACTAAAAAATCACTTGTTTTATGATAAACAAACTTCATGTTGTAGAGACGTTAGGTTATTTTATACCGCAGATCTCTGGAATACGTGCCCAGCATGCAGACCACTATACCATGAAGGCACGTTAAGAAGGTGGGAGAAATACCTTATATACCCCCTTTTAGGGGGCCCAATCGCCAAATTCTGAGTGTGTAGAATCATCATCCATCACCTTTTTCGTTCGGGTGCCAGTGTAGAGACAATAGGTTATTTTTGACTATTATTTTTGAGACTTGAAAAATGAGCAATGCCTTCACCGGGAATCGAACCACAGACCTCTGGAATATGCACCCAACATGCAGACCACTACACCATGAAGGCAAGTTAAGAAAGCGGGAGAAATACCTTATAATGTATAAAAAGAAATAGCTTCCTGTGACAGGTAACAGCAACAATAGGCTGCTATTTTATAAGTATTTCTTCCTTAAAAGTTGAAAAGTAACCCTGATATTTTCTGTGCATTATATTATTGCTTATCTTTTATCTGCATTAATCAGTATATAGCAGTGTAAGTAGAGATTTTGCCATCTGAGGTGGTCCTTGAAGTTGCCACCCGGGGCAGTCTCTGAAATTGTCACCCCTTTGGATATACAGGCAAATAACTTTAAAAAGTGTCAAAATGGCATATAGGGAAATAAACTAAAATCATATTATTCTGCTTCCTTTTTTGTTAGCAAAACCATCGACGACAGTTTAGAGGTCTATCTTATTTCTCCAACTGATGTTACTTGTTTTTAATCGAATGGCAGACACTTGCCTTTTTTCAGCTTTGGCCACTCCTGACGGCAGAATTGGTGGCCATTTTATGTGGAAGTACCTAATAGGTGGCCACTGTTACCTTCTATGAGGGGACAGACAAGTTACATCTACTCCTTCTCTGGGTTTCAAACCCAGGCCCTTTGCTATTGCAATTAGCTCCCCTAACCACTATACCATCTGAGCGACGAAGCTGTCTGCCATCTGATGTTATGCAGGTATTATCAAGATATATTTTAAAAGCAAAATAAGCATTTGTAGTTTGTAAATACTTCTTAAATAATTTTTATTGAGACAAGTCTTTTCACAGGGAGTAACACTTACACCAATTGTAAGAAGAATTTGCAGTAGTACTGCAATATTTGGAGCTTTGTTTTAAAAACCATATTTTAGAATGAACTGTAAAAATTCAAAAGGACTGTCCTTCCACACTCCTGTTTTATTTTCCTTACCAATAACAGAAAAAAAGCTGAAATACTTATCTCTTAACAAGGAATTCTTCTTATTAATGTTACTGTGATCATATTTGAGTTGATAGACATAGTTTACCATCAGAAGTTTTTAAGGGATAAAAAAGGTATAACAAGTTCAAATCTCATAGTGATTCTTTGTATACTTCATCTATAGCAAAATCATTTTTTCTTCTCCATTTAATTCTACATGGAATTCAGAATCTCGTTGTTCTTCACCTGTGTCAACAGTCCACATGACTAACCCCTATAAAATAATGTTTCATGTGAAAAATACCTCTCTCAATAATAGGCCACCCAGGGTGGACTGCCCACTCTAACTATGACACTGTCAGTATAATGATTAGTGATGATGGCTGCTATATCATGAGGCCCAGATTCAAATACCAGAGAATGCATCGATGTAAATATACAGTGTCTGTATGAAGTAATGGCAAAGTAAAGGTGCATTTGAATAGTTTGGTGGTAAGAGAAGTTTGGAAGACCTCATATCTGTCCCTCAAGGAGTGCTTCATCCAAATTGAGATGGAACATCATAGTTAGGACTATACCTGCAAAATCATTTGGCAGATTTGTTCTCAGATTATTTGGCAATGTGTGGTTCTCATGTCCCACACACTTTTTTCACCTTTCCTGCTTACCTTTTAATTAAATATTTATTTATCCATACATTTTTATACCAAATTGAGATATGGATGAAGATACTCCATAGTTTAAGATTAACTAAAGATTTAGGAAACAAGAAGTAGTTTTCAAGATGATTTAGCTAATGAAGGACTACTTAATCGTTTAAGGAAAGGCAGAAGAAGGAGGCTTCAAAGGAAAAAGATTTTAAAGGAAAAAGGTATAAAATTTCAAATAAAGGTTTCAAAGGAAAGGCAGAAGAAGGAGGCTTCAAAGGAAAGGCAGAAGAAGGAGGCTTCAAAGGAAAAAGATTTTAAAGGGAAAAGGTATAAAATTTCAAATAAAGGTTTCAAAGGAAAGGCAGAAGAAGGCGGCTTCAAAGGAAAAAGATTTAAAGGGAAAAGATATAAAATTACAAATAAAGGTTTTAAAAAGAAAAATTAAATTTTTCTGTAGAAGGTGGAAAGAATATGTTAACAAGTAATTCATAAAGATGGATTTTTTATTCACTATATTAAGTAAAAAGATAAAGGATATATAGGAAGAAAATATATGTATAATGGAGGAAAGAAATTAAGATAGAAGAAAGGAAGATTTAACAAAGATTATATGAAAGGAAGATTAAAGGAAAGAGAAGAACGAAGAAAAGAAGAAGAATGAAGGAATAAGTTTCAAACGTTTTTTACTAAGGACAAATTTTGACATTTTGTAAAGAATTACTTACAAAGATACACTTCATGAAGGACTCTAAAGTACTACTTTAAGATTTTTATTTTGATTCATTTTTTTTATATGTCACTATATGGCACACTATATGGCAATGTAAAAATCTTTTATTTATTAATAAATACTAGATAAGGGCAGACGTGGGCAGAACCGATTAACCGTAATTGTAGGGGGATGGTGCCCACGTCCTCCGTTACTACTACTACTACTACTACTACTACCAAATTTGATCAGTTCATTCAAAATTTAAAAGGCACAACGTACATTATCATGCTCATATAGTTACATATACAATGAAAAAGAACATATCATTTTAAGCATATTAATAAGCAGGTAAAAATATTTGAGTTAAATTTGATAATAAAATTATTTTTGAGTTTAATAGTTAACAGATACATTTTAGGTAGCTTCGAGAATCCTCATATATTTTTATGAATTTAATTAATTATTATGGACATCTTTAGCCATATATTTGAAAGATCTTGAGCAAGAAATTAACCAAATGATATTAGGATAGATTTTCATTTTACAATACTGTTTCAAATCTATAGCCCAATTATGAAAATATTCCAAATAATAAATCTCTACATGGATACCGTCTTACAACATTGTATATATATATGATTTAATGTCTTTTATGCTGGCAGGCATATTACACTGTTTGTTTCACATTTACAAAATATATTTCTAATTAGCATGTACCTTTTAAAATACTTATACTTTAAGTACTGATACTTTAATTTTTAATTGTATTTATTACTTTTAATAGTATTAATTTAAGTACTGATACTTTAATTTTTTTACTTGATTAATGTACAAAAATAATTTCTTACCTTTTGTTTGCTCTTCGACAGAACTCAGCTTTTTGAACGATACTGCCAGATGGTGGTACTGGATCACATGGTGTGGAAGCTTCACTATCTACAAAACCTGAACCTAAATATACAAAAAATGGTAACAAAATGCATTTTTGAAAACAAAGTTGTTTTTAATGAATATGATGCAATATTAGTTAAATTGTAACATTTTGATTTAATATAAACATCTGTACATAACTAACTGCTTTAACGTAAATACATATAAGCAACTAACACTGTTTGAATTAAATGTATACTGTAAATAGTTTTAATAATAAATAAATTAAATAAATAAACTTTAATATAAATAAAACATAAAAAATGCCTCCCTCTTCAGCAGTACCTGTTGTCATATTGTTGGGCTCAGGTTTGAAAAATATAGAAGGTATAAATGTTTGTAAATGCATAATGTCTTTGTGGCATGTAAGCACTTAAAATACTACTAAGCCAGAAACATCCTAAAAAAACTGGTGGTAGGAAAAAAGGAGTAGAAGGCACTTAGATCTGTCCTCCAGTACATTCCTTATTCAAATTTGGAAACTACAAATGTACACACAAACTACAGTGTACAAACTCATACCTATAAGGTGTCCAAGGCCTTGGTGAATGACAAGTGCCTTTTGACCATGATAAAATATACGAACCCGCTCTGACTTAGGTTAAGATCAGGAGGGATAGTAAGAATAACTACAAGCAGCGCCGGCGCAAGGTCATCCGGCGCCCACCTGCAAGATAGCTGATGTCATCTCCCTTTTTTTAAATTTTTGTACAGGAGAAGGAAGTTTTGAAGAAATCATCATTTGAATTTTTTTTTTAACAATTTATCGAGAATAATTTATTTTTCTTCATTTCATATCCTTAAACTTTTCTATAATTTCTTTTGCATCTATCTCATGGCAGATTTCATTTCCAATGGCAATCAAAGCTAGTTTTATGAGTCTTTACTGCGATATGCTTGACTGTAAATAAGTCTTGATCAATTTTAATTTGGAGAATGGTCTTACGTTACTAGCAACACTAACAAGAATGCTAAGTATTATTTTCAATATGATCTTTAAGTTCGGGATGCACAAATTATTTGACACAATTTAAGTTCAGAATATCAAATGGGTCATTTATATTGGCTGTAAAAATGTCTTTCGAAGCTACTATTTCATCATAGAAGGTCTTCTGCATTAATATCTTTATTGTCACCCTACTAAAACATTTTTCTAATTTACTGCATTTTATTTTCAAATTTGCATTATCGATTTCTGATAAATTACCCAGAAAACTGAAATTATCTCATCGATTTTTCATTGCATCAATTTTTCATTTAATGATATCCAAGCATTATCCGAAATTCTAAAAAAAGACATTTACCCTAAACCTCTCTTCTAGAGATTAAGGGGATTCGTGAGCAAGCTCGTTTTTTTACTTCACCGGACTTCTTCCAAAAGTTTTAAACTATGGCTTGCCATCCACTTCTTCACTCAGTTTTCGGCTTTCTCAAGAATACTTCTATATTCTTCAATGAATATTTTGAAGTTACTTATTGCCTTTAAGGCTACTGTTATACTTAAACCACTTTCTTGTAATTGTTTGGTGATAGGATTAATTCTGTTGTAGAGACATTAGGTATTTTTGGAAGCAGAAGAGATGAAAAGTAACCAACGCCTTCGCCGGGAATCGAACCACGGACTTCTGGAATACGTGCCCAGTGTGCAGTCCTCCATACCCCGAAGGCATATGAAGAAGGCAGGAGAAATACTTTATGTACTCCCCCTTTTAAAAGGCGACTGAGGTTTAGGAGACCCAGTCACTAAATCCTGGATGAAGAGAATCCTCATTCACCACACTTTTAGTTCAAGCACCATTGTGGAGACATTAGGTATTTTTTGAAACGAGAAGAAGTGAAAAATATGCAAAGCCTTTGCCGGGAATCGAACCGCGGACCTCTGGAATACGCGCCCAGCATCTCGGGGTGTAGTGATGAATCGCCCAGCATCTCGTGGTGAATTGCCAGCCCAGCATTTCGTGGTGTAGTGGTATTTCAGAGGGTGCCAGCGCCCTCTGGAATACCACTACACCATGAAAGCACGCCAAGAAAGCGGGATAAATACCTTATATACTGCCCCTTTTAAAGGGCGACTGGGATGTTTAGTGGACCCAATCACCAAACCCTGGCTGTGGAGAGTCATCATCCACCACCCTTTTAGTTCGGGCACAACTGTAGAGTCATTAGGTTATTTTTAAAGCAGAAAAGATGAAAAATTAGCAAACCCTTTGGCTGAAATCGAACCACGAACCTCTGGAATTTGAGCCCAGCATGCAGATCACCACACAAAAAAGGCATACTAAGATGGTGGGAGAAATACCTTATACTGTTAAGCAAATCGTGTCAAAGTATCAAGGAACAAATAAAGTTATAATTCTTGATTTTCAAACAGACTTCGTGCTTTATGTTGCACTTCTTTTGAAAAGCATTCACCTTTGGATATTTAAAAAAGAGTGTTATAGATTTCTCCTAATTTTGCTTTCTTATCCAGTGTTTGAGAGGGGTTTTAAGGTTAAACTAGAAATGTGTTCAAAAACTGTCCATCGCTTAGGAGAAGAAGAAAATAAATTGTATAATTCTTAAATTGTTGAAAAAAAAGTGACTGTATCTGCATTCACCTTTGCTGCATTATTAATCATTAAATTTAAGCTATGAGCTTCACAAGGAAGATAAAACGCATGAGAATTTATTTTCAAGATATTATAAGGTATTCCTCCCACATTTGCAGCATTTCATTTTGACTATCTTTGCTTAAATAATAAACTTTGCCTGTTGCTACCTTTAGTTAGTTGTAATACTCTTTATGTGTGAAATTCCATAATTGGGTAGAACTTTGCAAACAATTCCACTAATTTTAAGATGTTTCTGTTGTCTTTTAGGTACAGTACATCAGACAGCCTCGAAAGGCTAAATTTTGGCTGCCAAGAAATTTTGTGATCTCAATCAGTCTTCCTAACACATTTGACCATATTTTTTTTTTCATTTTCATACCTCTCATGTATCTGGAAATCAATTGTTATTATATTTTTCAAGTTTTTCTCAAGCTCTTTCCCTTTTAAGAAATTTTTCATATGTGCTCTACTAGTCTCATGCCTTTAAATGCATGCCCCTTATGTGCAAGGCTTTAAATACATTTATCCAATCATTATAGCCTTTTACAAGGCTACTACTGTCAATCGATGCAAATATCTTGCAACAGAAGTGAAAAACAGAATTTGTACTTATGGAATGTAATAGCTATGAACAGGGAACTAATTCTCCCTTTCCCATTTTTCTGTTGCAATATGTATCACTAAATTTACGTTCATTATTACTTTTTGGATACATTAAACCTTTCTTTCGAAGAGGCCCCCATTTCAGACAAAGTCATTCTCACTTTGTCGCTAAGAATTGGCCACTTATCAGGATTATCAAAATCTATATAAAGAAAGGAATTTTCATTTATGCCAGTCTCATCTATCGAATTATCTGAATAATCTTTAACTTCAGATTCATTTGATTCCATGCTTAGATCATCACATTCTTTCGCATTAAAAAAAGATGATGATGATGCACATTCTTCTGCATTAAAAAAAAAGAGCTCTGTGTCGTCAGCCGATCGGTGCCTTTTTCTTGGTTATGGCGCCTGCCTGCAAAGAAGGCCTTGCAGGCCCACTTCTGCCAGCTCTGACTACAAAAGCATAAAAAATGTGATAACTTACTTTAATAAGTACAGGCTGTATACTTAATGAACAACTGCTTTTTGTCAAGCCATTGGAGTAAAATAATAGTTTTCATTAGTACACCAAATCTTATCAGAAAATTTGCTTTGGATATTCAAAACTGGGTTTATCAACCATTTCTGAATAACCTATAGAGGATTCAGTAGCTACTTTTGAGTGATATTTTCATTTTTGAATGTGCAGAAACAATTTTTTACACAACTCATTTAATATATCAGAATGAAAGATTTAACTTTTTAAATCAGCCAGATGTATAGAGAATAATATCAGAAATAGAACTGCTTTATTTTATTTATTTATTTATTTATTTATTTTACAATCCATGACATAAATAGCACAGAAGGAAAAGAAAGAAGAAACTAGTATTAAGAAGTCTGTTGATGTCAAGATATGGCAATAACTTGCCAACAAATATCTGCCTTCCTGTGCAATCATTCACTAAGTTCTTTTAATTAGTTGCCATTTGTTCTGTTAGCCTTAATTAAGACTTGAATTGTACTTATTCCTACAAGACTCAGGTTTATGGTCAACTCATAATACCTCATAATCCTAATTTTTCCATAGAAAATAAAAGTGTGTTAGGAACTCTTAATGAATACTATGCCTCTAAAGCAGATGTTCTGCATTATTTTGTTTCAAGCTTTCAAATGGTTGAAAATTTTCTGTAATATATGCATCACAAGTTAATTAAATAAGTCCTCATTTTGAATATTCAATCTCTCTCTTCTAAAAATAATAACTTTCCTGAACTGCACCCTTTCTAGATTAATCTATGTCATATGGCTTGCATAATGCTAATGATATAGCTTATTCGAAACTTGAGAACTCTTGGGAACTGAAACTTTTCTAAATTTAACCAAAACCTTCTCCTGGTAAACTTCCATACTCGATTATTGCATACTTTTAACTTAAACTTTGGTGCTGCTTGGACGCCTTTTTTCCTCACCCTTTTCCTATTGCATCAGTTTTTAAAAATGTAAATGTTCTGGAATGTAGGTGCGATTAGAGTACCAAATAAACTGTGGCCACAAATGTGAATTTAAATAAAAATGGAATTTAATCTGCCTCGACTGCCAAGTTTCCTATTCATTATGGATTAGCATTCTATGCAATCAAAATTCTTCTTCTTCAACATGGATCTATGATCTGTCCTCTCTATGTGATGCACAATCAGTATTTCTGTGTTTCTGCATCTCAGTGCTCCCACTTCAGTACTTCTCTAAATTTGTTTTATTACATATATATATATATATATGCTTTTTATAGACATTTATTATGTATATTCATTCATATCTTTTGCAAGTTCCAGTAGCAAAGAAAATTCTGATCAGCACGTCTAAGTAACATTAATATGTAAAGGTAAATAACTACACTTTATTTTGCTTCAGCACCCAATCAGAAGATATAAGTCTGGAAATCAGAAGTTTAATATATCTTGAAATTAAGCTTTCTAAGAATTCTTCAATTATTTTTTTTTATTTAAACAATTCTCAGCTAAGATTGCAATTAGAAATTCTTTAGCTTTGCTTAAGATATTAAGCTAAGAGTAAATCATACATTCTGGTTAGACAGAAAACTATTTCAAGGCTTGATAATAAATAGAAAAAAAAAATTATTATTTACAGCATCATTTTAAATCTTATAAAAAATTTATTATTTTTTATTATATTACTTTACCTTGGGCCATAAGTTCTTTGTTCAAAGCTTCCTTGGTTTTAACTTTTTCCTTTTTACTAAAAAATCTTCCTAATGATGACTTAAAACCTTTCTTCTTTGCTGCTGCTTTATGCAATGAATCCTGAGATGAATTAACAGAACTAATGGGTGATGTAGCATTTAGTAAACTACTGTCAACTGTTGGTCGAAAAGGGGAAGTATTGCTGCAATTAAAAGAGACAAAAAATTTCATAAAATTATCTAACACTTAATTATGTTATGAGCTTATCTATATAAAAATTAAGTTGTATGAAATAAAATTTTTATTATTATTAAAGTTTCTATTACAGTAGATGACTGTGTATTAGATTTCTGTACATTCAGCTTATTATTTAACTAGTTATATATAAATACAAACAGGAATTGGTTACTAAAGTATCTTCATAAAAATATGTAATTTATGTATTATGAGCATATGTAATTTAAAATTATTCTAAGTAGAAACAAATTCTATTTAATGTAAGATAAAATTAAAATTGTGATATGCAATGAAGAAAACAGTGCTCATTACAGGGAAACTACCTACAAAAATATTTGAAACCTAAAATAACCTTTATTAGACGGGCCAACAATCACTTAGCCTATGGGACACTTAACCGATAGGACATTTAGCTGACAGGACAGTTAGCTAACAGGTCATTTTGACATGGACACTTAGCCGACAAGACATTTAGCTGACAAGGACACTTAGCCGACAGGACATTTAGACTACATGGATAGTTAGCCGACAGGACATTTAGCTGACATGAACAGTTATCTGACAGGACCTTTAGATGAAAATGACACTTAACCGACAGGACATTTGGCCGACACAAAGAGTTAGCCGTCAGGACATTTAGCTACGGGGCACTTGACTGTCAAGACATTTAGTCAACAGGATACTAAGCCGACAGTGACATTTAACTGGCATGTACCCAATAATTATTTAAACTTACTATCAATTACAAAATTTCTCGACTTCTCCATAAGTTCAATATATAAGTTATTTTTGTGCCTATCAGTAAAGTTCGTTTTTTGATTTCTTATAGATCTCATATGTGCTTTTAATTATTGTGTTAATTTAGCATCGTGCTGCTTGGTATATATTGGCCAAACTGAAAAAGTGCTGAAATTTCTCGTCAGGAAATATGAATTAAATTTCAAAAGGAAAAAAGAATTTTTTTAGCTGAGTATGGTGGTCACTTAATTACATTTGGGATCTTCAAAAATTATCCGTAAAGCTTCTTCATTTAATCAAATGGGTTCTTTTGAACACTTTCATATCATTAATAATTTTTCTTGTTTACTTAAAGATATTAATTTTCCAATCTCGCTCTTCCAAATGCTTTCAAATTTCTAATATTTTTACGTTTGATTACTATTTTACTCAATACATCACGTTACATTCTTTTCCTTACAAAATTGTTTCGCTCCTCCCACAAATGAAATTTCCTTTCCCTGTCATGAAAAATTTAAATAATGCAATAAGAATTATTGTTATTCTTGAATTATACTTTTTATAGAAACATATGGTGGTGAAGGGTTAGTTTTGAAATATTTATTATTTTGTTATTAGAAACAATTAAAAAAAAGTGAATTTTTAAGACAAGCAAAGGTATAAATTATTGACCTCTATAATGAGCTGTTCATCCCATCATACTTGAGATAAAAATTCTGTAACATTTTATTCACCATGCCTCTCTCTTAAAATACTTAAGTTAATGTTTATAGCACTAAACTGGTGCATTACATTTAATTTAGAAGTAAAATATTTTTTAAGGTTTTATTTCATTCATAACTGAATTCTATTCTCAAAAACTACATGTTTCACTCTTCATATATCGAAAACGTTCCCGATATGAAACTCCGGATGTTAGAAAATCTCCGGAGGAATCTACAAAAGGAGGAGCACTAAGCAGGGTGGAGCAAAGCGAGACATCCTGTAAAGTCACCGTAATGTGGTGCCATCTATTGGTGTTAGATTTAACTAGATCAGTCATGTAACTAGATAATATTATGCACTCTGTTTTGAAAGTCGCAATGCATAATTTTCAATATAATACGTTATATTGTTTCATGTTTTTCTCATAAAATGTAACTTTCTCAATATCTGTTAAAAACGTATAAATTTTCATTTCGCTTTTCATTAACTTTAACTTTTTTGTCCTCTTTCATTCCTTCTCTTTTTTGTTTTTGTCATAGCTACATGGTAATAGGGAAATTTTTGGTGCCCATTTTCCTGAATGCATTTATAAAGTTCTAGCCTAAAAAGGCAATTTTTATTGGAAGAGACTGGTTATATATCAAGTAAAACAATCACTCTATTTCTGTTAGGCCCGGAAGCGGCCGAGAGGTAAATTCACTGAACACTGGCAGTTCGGCCGAATTTCGAATCCTGCGAATGAACAGGCTGCATGGGTGTTTTCGTGGTTTTCCCCATGTGTAACATGTATACGTGCCAGTTTTCCTTAGAAAGTCTTCCACAAAGATATCTCTCCCATTATGCAGATAGCCCTCTGGCTTTGCTGTAATTACATAAATCAAACCTACTTCTGGCCGCAGGCCACGAGGTATAAATTCCTGTGCCGGAGTACTATCCCAGATTAATAAATATGCAATTTCTAACCTGTAATTGTATAGGGTGAAATTTCATTTTAGATAAAAAAAGTAGTTTCATAGCTTCCTGACAGGGATAGGAAATTTCATTAGTGAGAGGAGCGAAACAACTTTATATGGGAATGAATGTAGAGTGATGTGTTGAGCAAAGTAGTCATGAAATGTGAAATTATTAAAAATTTAAAACTATTGGGAAGAGCGAGACTCATTGCTGGCTTAATGTCATGTTAGCTAAATGTTCATGTCGGCAAAGTGCCCTCGTTGGCTAAGTGTCCGTGTCAGCTAAATGTTCTGTCGGCTAAATGTCTGTGTTGGCTAAATGTCCTGTTGACTAAGTATCCATATCGACTAAGTGTCCCTGTCAGCTAAATGTCTTGTCAGCTAACTGGTGTTGTTTAAGTATCCCGTCGGCTAAGTGTCGCCGACTGTTGTTGGACTACAAAGATTTTGAATTCAGTTGCTATATTCAACATATTTGTCTGTTGCTGCATTAGTTATTTGATAATATGAAGTATACTTATGCAGTTTTTTGGCCATTGCTCATTTCAAGCTTTAAGATATATAGTCATAAGACATATTTGTTAGATATGGCCCTATTGATACATCCCGGGTAAATTGCAAGATGATTGTACATTAGAAAATACTTCCTAAATATTATGATTTCGTATCTTATGTTTGATTGAACATATGGCATTTACATTAAAAATATTCTTTACACATGATAAGAAAATGCTTTCATAAGACTATGTAAATATGAGGTTGACAATTAAAAACTTGGCAAAACATTTATCAGATTGCTTTTTGTATATGATAAAGAGTTTATTATTTAATCTTCTATGCTATTTTCTTCCTCATATTCTATGAGACATCACAAAATGAGAAACAATTATGTAAAGCATTTATCCACTTATATAAAATGCTAAAAATTTGCTTTTCTGTATCTCAGAACTACAAATTTTCTATTAATCTTTAACAATTTTATCCTCAATATTTTAGAATTATTTTGGGACAATGTGCTATTGATTTGCAAAATACACTCTCACATAAATTTTGCTTTTATTATTTCCATTATGCCTAACTATAAATGAGTTAATATAATATAAGAGGTACACATAATTTTGTATTAACATGCACAGCATATAAATGTTTCACTTAATTTTGAATTTTTACAATTAAAAACCTGCTATTGTCTTATTTTTACTGCTGTTTATTTATAAATGTTCTTCTCATAGCTGAGTTCTGTGAAAGATAAATTAGTAATATAAACTTAAATATAAATAATACTTTTATTCAATCTATGATATATCACTTCAAAGCCAAGAAACAAAAATTCAGACAAGGTTCACTTTTAATGTACATGCAACTATGATTGAAGCTCTAACTAATCAAAAATTTATAAGTAATATATAAAGTTTATATATAGATTAAGAATATAAAGTTTAATTATATATAAAGTTTTTAATATTAATTTTATATATATAAAGTTTTAGTATTAATTTTTATATACAAGAAATCAAGATCAAATGCCATATGGCATTTGATTTGCATTTGTACTTAAACTTCACACTTTTGGAAATACATGAAGCATGCTTATTGCTTATTAAATTGGAGAGAAATGCATTTCTAATTCGCTAAAATATTCTATGCCAATATATTTTTTAAAAGTAACAAATATAAACGCAATGATTTTTTCAGAATGCTTTTCCTTGCGTAAACAATGCAGAATAATTACTAAAGTTAAATAAGTCATGCTATTTACACAAGAAACATTTTAGTAACAATTTTACAGTAAATTCAGCACAATTTTATCAAAAATTTACATGAAATGATAAACAATCTTATTGACTTTTAATAATTAAGTTCATTTCAGTGATTAAACTTTGTTACTAACCTGAGCAAATCTGGAGGAACTGTGGAAGATGGAATAGATGAAGATGTAGGCTGAGATGCCACAACTGGCATAGAACTTTAAAATCCAATAGCAGCACAAAGAAAATACACAATTTACTATGTAAACATAAAAAAATAATATTAACGTTGGTTTACAGTTCTATCTACATAATCAGGCTATTTTTTTTTTTAAATAATGTGTCTGACAAAAAAATTCCTGGAAATAAAATGATCAGAAGTACAGTTAAAAATGCATAATAATGCAAGGTATCCTAGGAGGGTATAACTATTTCTAAATGATCATAACATTTGATTTACAATTAGTATCTAATCCTTCAATTAATTAATTTTTGTCTTCTGCATTCTTATATTCTAAATCTGTTGAAGATGCTCATGTAAAAATTATTTACACCAAGGGATTCCATTGTGAAAACATAACTGATGAAATGGTTTATACAGGAAAATTACCCAAAATTTAGGAAAATTACAAATATTTGACTGACATTTTAAAATTAAAAATACCATGTATTCCAATGTATAATGCACACTGATGTATAAGCCACACCTATAATTTAAAACTACATTTTTTAATTTTTAGGTATATTCACCATATAACATGTATGCTTTCCTTTACGAAGAAACCTGAAAGATACATGTGTGATCTTACCTTTAAGTCATTCATTAGAAGATTTTCCCCAGGCTTTCAAACAATGGTATACTGAATTGACAAGCAAAAAGGGGAACAATATTTATGTCTGGGAAATGCTTGAGGGAGTAAGTAATTCTGCAAAGAGCGTGGGTTGTATTCAATGCAGATGAAGAGAAGAATGTTATTCTAGGGTTTCGAGAAAAGGGGGATATAATTTGGGGTAAGGATTCACTTCCAACCTGAATGAATTAGGAGTCAGATGTTTTCTCTTTCTGCAGTCATCTGAAGCCATGATTCATGAAGTGAATATTGAAAGCTTCAGTAAATCACATTTGCTTTAGTTGAAATACAGTTGATCTAGTGTTCCATTCGGTAGTAAATATAGCTCCTGCCAAATAAAACAAACACAGTGCTGGGTTTAAATGCAAAGTCATTCAACTTGTAAAAGGAAATGAGAATCTTGCTGCAGCAAGGATGTTTTTTGGTACATGTAGAAATCTAATTTTTGTATACTCATCTGTTCTTTATTTTTAAATCTATAATTTTTATGTCCAGTGTATAACATGCACTCATAAATTTCAATTTTATTTCTTATATTAAAAGTGCACATTATATATTGGGATATAGGGTAGTTATTAATGAATTTAGTTTATCTACACCCATTAAAAGTATTACAAACAAAAAAAATATTTCAAATTCACAACATCAATAATGACATTCTAGAAAACAACTGGAATTTGATTGCCATTTATGGGAAAATGGTGCCCATGTTAATAAAATGTAAAAAAATGATGCATTTCAATAAACCATGTTGTGCATTAACATAATTTACATTAAGAGTTTTATGATAATTTAAGCTGCTCAACCGGTATAGTGGTTAGCGTCACTGACTGCAGTGCCAAAGTGCCCAGGTTCGAATCCCAGAGAAGGCGTGGATGTTTATAAATGTATAGTGTCGATGCAGCATGGCAGCACTCTAAATATGCAGTCAGCCGAAAGTCCTCTCATCTGGTTTGGGGGAAGTTGAGAGGGGACGTGAGACCCTTGGACCCATCCTCCCGAGGTGCTCTCCATCAAAATTGGGGAAGGAACTGAGCTAGATCACACTATCACCTGAATGGTGCTCAAGTCTATTGCCAGCAGCAGGCGTAATCTAGCGCTCCTTACCACAAGGAATTTTATGGGCTTGGGCTGACTACGTCAGACAAGTGAGCATAAGCAACAACAACAACAACATGATAATTTAAAACTAATAACACTTGTTACCTACTTAAAAAATTAATTTTTAATTTGATTTTCTGATAATTTAAAACTAGTTATACTTGCTATCTACTTCTAAAAATTAATTTTTTAATTTATGCAATTTTAAAGAATTATTACATTCCCCTTCAGGTCACATTTCTTCTTTTCTTTTTCCCCCTTTTTGGAGTGTATACAGATATCTGCTTTTTTATTACTGATGAAAACAAGGATATAAATTATGATATTTAATGAAACAATTTTTTCAAATGATTTGTTCCTTTAAATCAAATGCATAAAAGTAATATAAAATAAAATAATAATAAATGTAATAAAAGTCATTCCCATTTCATGATGAATGTAATCACAAACCTTTTTTTTCTTTCATATTTTTACAAGCATTCTAATGTTTAATTACTTTCTTCTTTAGTACACCATTAGGAATAGTTGCATACTTTTAGATGAAACTGAGAGTAAACTGCATCATTTCTATTAACAACTTTTTGATTTACACAAAGCATAAATTACATTCACAAAAATAAATACAATGAATATAAATCTTGGTCAGGACGTAATTTATTTATGAGTATGATAAGATAGATCTTTCTTCTTTCAGTTTTTGCTTATATAAATTCACCAGTCTTTCCATGTAAGTATTAATCTTGTACTTGATATTACAAAATCTGATCAATTAAAGAAAATACTTAAAGAAAAGTTTGGCTTGCTTTAAACTTCAAAAGCATCTTAATGAGCTTAATGAGCCTTAATTATAATTAATATCCTTAGTTGTAAAATCTTTAATTGATTTTTAATTGTAAAATAAAATAAGAAAATGACTTAAAATGCACAGAAAATTTCAGTTTATTGTTATCTCCAAATTTCTTTAAGTCATTTTCTATTTAGTATTTAAGTTGATTTCTTGATTTTTATTTAATATTTCCACCTAAAAAAAGGAGGGTAAAAAAAAGTCTTAAAGATTTCATTCAAACAAAGGTATTAGATTTATATCTGGTTTGATACAGATCAGTATCACATAATTTTATTATGCTTCTAAATATTTTGCATGCCTTCTTACAATCGGTAGAAATTGTTCCTTTGCACCTTTTTTTTTTTTTTTTACTACTAATAAAAAGGTGTCAGTTTGAATTCTAGAAATTTATTTAGCAATTTTAATTTATTAAAAAACAAAATATTGATTCTGACTATTTGCTAATTATTAAATAATAAAAAACAAAATATTGATTCTGAGTATTTGCTAATTATTAAATAATAATAAATAATATTTTAAGAACAACAGAATGGAAACAGAATAAAAGAGTTGATTTTTTTCTGGTCTTTTTAAAAGAAGATTAAAAAGTGACATTCATAACGGTGTGCCATATTATGGTATTCATGATTACGAATACATATTCAATAGGAACTTCTTTTACATGAAGCATGTAAGAACTAAAAAAAAACTCTTCAACTCGCTATTGGAAAACAATATTTTACCTCCTGTATTCATCGGGATTCTGAGGTAATGATTGGGATATCCTTTCTAACCTTAAGGAACGAGGAGTGGGAGGACTGGACTGTCTTGTTAATTGACTATCATCCATTGTATCAGCCACAGATTGCATCTGAAGAATAAAAAGATATTATTATGTAGAACAAAAAGAAACAAAGACCCAAGCCTGAAAAAAACCTTGTTTGGAAATGAAAACAAATATTTAAAGAAAAAATTGAATCATTCATGTTCTTCTTTAATTTGGAAAGTACTGCAACAAGAGAGACTTTATAAATTAAAATGGTACAAACAGATGACTAGATATAAATGAAACAGATAAACAAGTTATATGCATTATAAAATTAATCATTTTAAAATAAAAACAAAATACAAGGTAGTTTCCAAAACATTCCTGGAATTACTGTCTTCTACAAGAAACAGTGACAACAATTAGAAAACTGCATCCATGGAATCTGTCAAAATATTATTTCTTATGACACAAGCCATTTCTTTTTGAATGGGAGCAATAGCATTTCTTTCTTTTATGTGCATTATCAGAATTCAAAGCGGCTCTGATAAAAGAGGATGAGTTAATATCTAGCAAATGAAAAATGCTAATTTTAGCAAAACTCAGAGATTGGAAATAAAAATGGGAATAAAAAAATTAATACACACAAAAGCTAGATACATATAAAATTATGCTATTTATTTTAGCAACTTTTTCTTCAAATTATTTCTGTATGTGATCATGTATGCAAAAATGTTTAATGGAATCGATGCACTCACTAAGAGCAAAATTGACTCTGTTAGTAGACTTCTAATTGATGACTAAAATGCAACTAAATCCTAGTTTGATTAAAATTTATAAGAAAGAGAGCATGAGTGATATTGCCTGCAGAGTTTAAATTGCACCAGAGCCCATTATAGCTCGGCTCCAGTGCTTCTTAGTTTTTGAGATAAATCATAATTCTAGTCAGAGCACACTGAAGCACTAAATAAGAAAGCTCGGGCACTTCTTTTATGTAACTGAATAACAATTTTTGGTAAATTTTTATTTTTAATAATAAAATTATATTAAAAATCGATTTTGACTTCTGAATGCAAGCTTCTCTTTCTTTGGGAAAACTCTTGGATAGAGGTCGAGATTTTTAAGGAAAGAAAAGCTCCACCCACATGTCAAAGGCTTATTCTCCAGAAAGTACAACGAATTTATGACATTAGGTAAATTTTTTGTTCTGACACTAGTGTCTTCCCATGAAAAAGAGCATCTGCAGACATTTTGGAATGATGTTACCAAAGATGGGGGATGAAAATTGTCACTTGTTACTTTTTTTCAGCTAGCCCTCAGATTCGGTGAAAATTTTTTCCCATGTTATATTCTGCTTATCAGCTAGAATTATATTGCAAGGAGATCATGGTCAGAAAACGTTGGAACTCTTCTCTTTTTGTTTTCAAGCCTACAGATCATCCGTTAAAATTTTCTTCATATCCTCTTACTGTTTATAACATTATGTGTATTTTCATTAGTGATGCTCTAACCATTTTAACATTTTTATTCGTATGCTCGAAAAAGAATGGTCTTGGTTTCTTTCATCCCTTGAAGTAATACATTATATTCAAAGCTTAAATTAAACTGGAGACCGATTGAGATATTTCTTATTTTTTGTGTGAAATTTTGATTCCAGACAAAACCCAAATAAATCAAGGTCCAGTACTTTATTTTAATATTTAATTATTTAACTTTTATTTAATAGCTTATTATACTTTTATTTAATGCATTACATTTTATTAAATTTTAATATTAATTGTTTAATTATTCTAATTTAATTTTAATAATTAATTATTTTACTGGTCATTTTATTTATTTATTCATTTTTCTTCTTGTTCCCTGACAGTCTTCCATACGTGCTCTAATATATCTGATACTTCTAATTTTGCCCTGATTACCTAATATAACATTTCGAGATATATATAAAAAATTACTCTTGATGAGAGAAGACAGGAAGAAAGAAAGTGATGATCTCTCTCAAAATACAAGGCAAGTTAATTCAATAGGTAGGTAATAAGCTTGTAAGACAAACACATACATGTACAGATGATGCACTGTTGACAAATAATTTAATCTAGAAGGCTACTTAATTGTAGTATGTATCTAACTTTTGTATACATTAAAACTTTTCCCTTTTATCTCAGTTTTATTTAAAAGAACTTGATTAAAAATAACCCTTGTATAACTTAACAGCATTAAAATATCTCATTATTTCTTTGACTTCCCTTTAACTGATTTTTATCAATCTCTTCAACCTTAAGGTGAAAGGACAGCAATTCAAATTCTTATGAAAAATGAGTTCCAAGGATTGCTTCTATAGATTAAAAAATATGTGGCCAGGTTAGCCCTAAAAAAATGGTTAGTTTCAAAAGTCTTACAGAAATAATAATTTTAATAGCACTGTTGAAATACTTATGCAGTATAATAAATATACTGCATAAGTATGCTAATGAAGTATGCTGCATAAGTATGCTAATAAATATACTGCATAAGTATGCTTATGCTAATGAAAGGAGAAGCTTGTATACTTGAATACTTCCTATAAAAAATGGCACAAAAAAGCTTCATGATAAAAACAAACACATTTCAATTTATAAGCATTTAATCTATTTCTTACTCTACCTAAAATAAATCATTCTGTTGATGACTAGTAAATTCAAGGAACATTTTGATATTAACCTTCATTATTATTACACATACATAAAATACTTGTATATATTACACCAGTATATTTCAACATGTACCATCTTGTTTATAAAGACTAATACGAAACTTTTAATATACATTTTAGCAATCTACCATGTTCACCAATTAAGGAATGAAATAATTATAAATGTCCAAAACACATAAAAGTAATATATTTATTTTTCCCAACACAGATTTGACTATTCAGATATGCTTAGAATACCTGAGGTGGCACAGTATCAGCTAGTTGAGGTTGGCTAGTTGAAGCATACTGATACATATGAGCAGGTGTCATTGATGCTGGAGCCTGAATAAAAAAGTTTAATGTTTAAATGGTAAAAATAATTTAAATAACTTCCATTTAATGATGCTTTAAGAACCTGGATTCATAACAGATAGTAAACTATATTCAATTATTCAACATAAAATCTAAACATACAAAATAAACACAGAAAAGAAAAAGAAAATTCTATTAAACAAAAATAATTCTGTGCTTAAAGTTTCCTACTAATTTAGAAAATGTTGAATATTTAAAAGAATACATGCAGTATGTTGCTGGTTTGTGATGACATCAATTAAAATAAGTTTGCAATATAAGTTTACTATATGAAAGAAATCTATCACATATTCTAGAATGATCAAAAATGCAATTTAGATACAGCATTCAACTATTTCTGGTGTATACAAATTAAATGTGTTTTTTAGATATAATTTTTTAATAGTCCAATGGCACATGAAAGAAGAAACTATGAGCAAATTTCCCTTTATTTCTAAACAGATATAAAGAATGAGATCTTTTCTAGTTTATAAGGAAATATTTTTATCTAATTGCTTTTTCAAATGATTTTTTCCCCCAGTTTTGATATTCCTAAAGCTAACAAGTTACAAAGCATAATAGTTTTTATTGCCAATTTTTTTTATCATTCGCCTAACCTTTAATAAGTCAGATGCTATTTTGGAGATTACTTATGTTGTAATTGCATCGAAAAGAAATTTCTTTCCCACTTATTTCTTTGCCTAATTTGAACCCAACAGACCCTCTAATGGCACCCAATTTGCAGTGTCCACATGTTTTAAGTCTTGGAAACAGAAATAATTTTTAGCTCAATGCAGCCTATAAGATAATATGTGTCAAATTTTATGAGTTATCTGAAGTTTCAGCATGAAAGAGGGTTAAAAGGCTTATAGCATTATGGTTTGAAGCTATCTGAAAAGGTTATTTGAAGACAGTTGAAAGAAGTTGAATAGGAGCTAACTTTTTGAGATAGTGTTCTAGAAGATGAATATATTGAATTGGAATAATACAATGAATTAACTTTATCAGGAAATATTTAATGATGGCAAGAATCAACATTTTAGAAATCAAGAAAATTTAGACAAAATATATAGATGAAAAAAACTACTACATATACATAAATCAAGAAAATGTACACAAAATATATGCAAGGAAAAACTTCTACATAACTATATATACTTCAGAAACTTATTCTATGTCCTCTACACTATGCCATTTGGCACACTAGATTTCTATACTTCCTGAATTTTAAAAGTGCCAGTTTAAAGTTTCAAGAATTAAAAACAGAACCCTGTTCTGTGTAGCAAATATTATCCATCACACATCTGTTCTATAATGAAGGAGAGATTCCTTTCCAAAATTCAAAATTCTTTTCTAATTTGTCTACAGTGTCTTAATCCTAAATTCAAAAACTTTATACAAAATATACCGATTTAGAACCTGCTGCAATTTCTGCTTTCAGAAATTTTTATGTTTTTGGTTTAAAACAACTTATCTGATCTCTCTTCTATTAAAACGACTTTAAATATTAATATTTGTTTACAAAAACATGATCTTATTCTCTATTTAGATAATGATAACAAAATTTTACCAATTTTTGTATTTAGTATTAATTTTCACATATTATTTTTTCCAGTTTTTTTAAATCTATTAAATGCATTCATAATAAAGAATAAATATTTAAATTTCATTTATAGTCAGTTGCAAGAAATTTTATTAGTATTTCTTCATCCTACAAATTACATCTTTGTGAAAACAACCACCTCATAAATGGCGCTTTAAGTCACTAAGTGGCCTTTGTGTCTCAAAGTTCACATGACTGACTAAGGGTTTATCAGCATTGGGATTATTGTGATAATATTTGACTTTTACTATATTTGAATTATGAAAAAGGTTATGAGAAATTTTATGGGGAAAGCAATTCTAAATAGAAAGTAAATAGAAGTATAAAAAATACTTCTTTTACTTCACTTGTTGTACATAATTTTGTTACACATAATTTTTCTATGTACAACAGATAGATGTAAAAAAGAATGTTAAGGGGATATTTGAAATGACTAATCATATGAAATTAATGTCATGTCCAAATAAAGCAAGATATATATATGGATATCTACTTGTTTAATTACTATAATAGTAAATATATGAGCAGTGAAATATATAGAAATGGACAGACTGCAGATACGTTTCAGATACAGATTCAATCACTTAGCTCTTTAGGTTGTTAATTACTTAATAAATATAGATAACTTAGATCAAAAGCACTTTTTCTCAACTTTTGAATACATGATATATATGCAATCTTCTCCTTTCAATCAGTAAATTTTCTTCTCTCTGAGAGAAATATATATATATAGCCAATTCAGTATCACTCATTTCAAACGTGCTGCTATATTCGTGGTACAGAATATTTCTTTGAACAATAATTAGGGAATATTTTGAGGGTGCTCAGACATTTTGTTCAGTAACTTTAACACATGGACAATTAGTCACTTTTTTGTGTTCTATGCAGATTATATCATATGCCATAACTACCACAAAGAATAAAATACCATATATAGCTACTTTTAAAAATTAATTACATTAGAAAAATTATACTAAAATTGACAATAAAATAATTAATAACTTGCAGCCTGTTATCACTTTCACTGCTGATGACAAAGTAAATCCTATGCTAATAGCAAATATGCACTGAGCCACATAAAAATTACTTCTTAAATCACAGACATTCTGGCGAACTCATTATGACCAGCAAGCTGAAAATTCTTCTTGAAAAGACTATCCTAACAAAAACATATAGTATTAAAAAAACAAAGTGTTTTGAGAAATTATTAACAGTAATTCATTTAACAAGCTACACGTCTAGCTAAATTTTCTGTATAAAAATAAAAAAGAAAAGAAAAAAAAAAAAAAAAAAAAAAAAGAAGAAAGAAAATATAATCTTCAAAAGACTGTACTAGCAAAAACATGCCATCAAAAATAAAGTGCGTTGGGAGGCTATTGTTAGTAATTCATTTAACAGGATACATATGCCTACCAACATTTTCTTAATTAAAGTGGAAAAAAAATGGAAAACAGATTACATCTGATTTGTGAATTTATTTTTTATTACGTATTAATTCATTTTAAATAGTTACATAAAATTATTTTTTATATTGCTTAAGTTATTACACTGTTGTCAGACTTATTTTCAAAGTTGATTTATGCTTAGCTAAGAAAACTATCGATACATAAACCTAAATCAGCTTTGAAGATATAAGTTCATAGCCACTTAGTAGATCTTCTCAATAGTAACCAAATCCTTAGTTCTGTTAACTGGAGATTTGACTGTATATGTGATAATAACATTATGAAACAGTTAAATTCTTAACTTCAAATATATATATAGATATATTATATATATATATATATTATATATGTTTAAATCTGCAACTTTTATGAATTGATTTCAACTCTCTACAAAACTTTGCTAATTTAATAATAACTTAAAGAAGCTCTAATACTTAAATACTAATAAGAGAAGATACAGCATAAAGATATTACATTTACCGTATGGTATTTCTGTAGGTAGTCTCTGTTGGGACTAAGATGAGATTTTGGTGTAGATCGACCACTTTGTGGAGGGGAAGATCTCTCTGGAGGACATGCACGAGCAAGAAGACCCATAGAATCCATGCTGCCAACACGAGATTCTAGTTCCTCAGCTCGTTGTTCTGTGTTTTGTTTTTCCTCTTGAATTAATCTTGAAATGACATAGCATTATTCAGTTATGATAAGTTTTAATAATAAATGCTTCATAAATTAAAAACACAAAAAATAAAAATGTTACAAATTTTTATATACGTCTCTTAAAAACTACACTTAAATGGATGTTTAAAACAGACAGCAAAGTAATATTTGAAAACTTTAATATGATGATAACCACAAATGATTAATTTATAATAATTTTTCTAAACTTAAACAATTGATGCTGCAAAATAATTGAAAAACAGTCTTCATGCTGGTCATACACAAAGAATATGGTGTTGTTTTGTACATATACTTAGGAAGGTGCATGGCTTATACAAAGAAGAATACAAAACATTCAAGTTACTATTTAACAGAAGGGTTCTAAAGAGATATTTCTCATATTAAAACTATATGCATGGATTAAGTTAAATTCAAGATGCCCCATAGAAGAAGTGTTATGGAAAAGGTATTGTCAAGATCTTTGGGTATTTATTATACTGAAAAATAGTACAATAGATAACATTATTTCAGTTTGGTCATGATAATGTGGTAGTTTATGTTTATCATTGGTATCAGTCATAAAAAAATTAAATTGATTCGATACCTGAATGTGGATTAATAATAAGTAACAAATTTACTCAGAGATATATATAAGTAATAATACACCAAAACATGTAAAAACTAAGAACATGTACCATAACAATTTTTAATTTGCTCTAAAAGAGCCTTAGTTACAGAGCATTCTGGGGGCTTACTAAAGTTCAAGAGAGAAATTTCTGTATCTTTGCATTAAGAGCTTTAATGCAAAGAAAATGGCATGTCCTTTGAAAGGGTAATTGCTTTGGATGAAATCATATAACCAGAACTGAAACATAAGTTACTGACTGTCACACTGTTTTTCTAGTATTTAAAAAGGAAAACAGGTTGAAACTCTTTAAGTGATATTCATAGTGTTATTATGATTTGCATACAAAGTATGACATATTTTCTAAAACATCATCATCTCTCTTCTGTGTAGAGAAAGTTCAGAAATTTCCCAACAGGTGCATAGGAGATCTTACATGATAATATTTCATATCGATTCACTATTAGTGTAAAGAAATTAATAGCACAGTGGTAGTGATATATGCTTTGATCTTCATTATATTTTCCAAATCTGAACCCACATGAGTGTGACCTCTTCTTAAAACTAAACAACACAGAAATGCATCTGCCTAAAGCATAAAAAAAATTTTCTCATCTCTAAGGTACTTATGTGCCGACACTATAAAAACGAGCTTTGATGATTGTATGCTTTCAGATATGCGGCAAAAGGTTATATCGAAAATAATATTAATTAATTATGTTCTTGTAAATTAGTTACATCACCATATTCATATACAAAATTCCACCACTTTACATACAGCTCTTGCAACATTATTCTAATTACAGATATATTTAATTTGAGATTATTTGTAAAATATAGGATAATTCAGAAATAATCAATTAAAAACTTTTACAGTTTTCAAAATTATCAATTATCTATAAATATCATGTGAATTGTAAACGACAGATAAGTAAGTTTAACTATATAAAAACAGTGTGTATCAGTTTGTATCATATTTAAAAAGTTCTTTTTGAGAAAAATTAAATGGCATCTAAACAGCAATAAGATTTTTATATATTTTCATTTGCAAGATGTTGGTCAGATGCAGTGGATCAGATAATTTGGCTTCAAGCACCTGGTTTCAAAAATCTCAAGATGAAACCGCCCTGAGATTTCATTTAGAGATTACGTGAAAGGTCAGATGCTTGTGCCCCTTAAGCACATAAACCTAAAAATACATTTCAGCTGATTTAAAAACAGGTAACATTGATACATTGGAATGTGCTTAGCAGAAGTTTTTATATGGTCTTGACATTATAAATGAAACTAGGATTTGAAATAAAGGATATCGCACTGAACACTCTGACTTTTTCCGAGTTACCTTATACTTAGTATAAATAAAAAACATAACATTTACTTTTACTTGATATCCACAGTTATGTATTTTATTCATATTCTAATGAATTTAAAGTAACTATCTATTACTTTTTCTGCACGATGATTAAAATTCCATAACTGTCAATGATTTGCAAAATCATCTAACATTAAATTTAAATGGTTTCAAGAATACTCTTAAATAATATTTATTTAAGAAATATGTTTTACTTGAAAAGCATGGACATAATAAATATTCATATATAAAAAGACCATCATCAAAATTAATGATATCTTTAGTACAACTTTTGAAATTTCACAGCAATAAGGATTAAATTGCTTTAAACAGAACAAACTTAATTAAGACACTTTTCAATCTAAAAATGCTCATTTACCTTATTTCATTATTAATTGCATCCAGTTGTTCCTGCAACATAAGAGCAAGAGTTTGTGCGTCTGTATGCCCTGAAGGTGATAATATGTCCATAGCTTCAAATATATTTTCTCCTTCATCTTGACTGCATTCATTGTCACTTGCATCAAATGTTTGCTGAACATTGGAAATTACACGAGCTTGTTCCATTTTCTCCCAGTTCTATGATGAAAAGAGAGAAAGAACAACAAATTAGTTAAAACAGAACAGGAGTCTTCTAAAATTTACATTATCTTTTCTTCTCTTCTTTTTCTTTCTTTTAAACATCAGAATATCTTCTGAAGGCAATCATTATGAATTAGCTAATGTGATTTTCCTCACATCTGTATTTTAAGTTAACTGTTTAACTATAAAACTGAATTTGGACATAATTGAAACATTTTACAGTTTTTCAAATCATGACTTATGTGCTCTTTAATGAATTTAAAATGCACAACAGCAGTCTAAATTTTTGTTTTTGTTTTTTATATCACCATAATCACAAAAGAATTAACAGTGTGTTTACAAGTGTTAGTCTTACATTTGCATTTTCCTCAGTGTTACTTATTCCATGACTCCTTTGACTTTGCTGAGATCCTGAAGGAGAAGTTGAGGTGTATGCAAGTCCACCACAAGTAGGGATAGACTCTGAAGTCATTAGATTAATATTCCTATTGGGTGAAACAGGTCCACTGGTAGGAGGATAATTAGACCAAGATGGTGAAAGGTTAGTTTGATTATTAGGTCGCCTAAAGCAGAAGAAATACATAAACAAACATAAGTAAAAAAAGTTCAATCTAATAATTTAATAATTAGCATAAATAAGCAAAAATTTTATTGCTGATTGCAATGTAACTAGATTTTAGTCTAACATTGTCAAAGGATTATTGTTGCAGTGGTGAAAAGAATAGAAATGAAGGCTTGAGACAGATGCTGTAGTGCTGGTGGAATGAGGAATGGAATAGGCTTAAAATAGAGGGGGCTTGGAATAGGTTTAAAATCACACCTTCTGCATGAATAGAGTAAATGTTGTATCATTAATGTGACTACCTCACAGAAAAATTTTAGAAGCTTCTAATGAAACCAGATTGAGGACAAAATATTGAAAGCATTAATTTTAGCTTCCAAAAATGGAAAGTTTTGGTTTTTATTCCAGCAGTGGGAAGCCACTGAAGACATTTTTATTTCTTTCTATTTAGCAAACCATATGTGTTCACTTAAGCTCAGTTTCAAATAATACTGAGTCTCCAAAATACAAAAAATGATAAGCAAAATAAAGACAGATTCTTTGGGATATTTACATGATACATGGTAAATCTTGGTTTGATTTGAAAGGTTTAGTAATTCTCAGAAACAAATAGGAGTATTCTGTATAACAAATAAGAGTTAAAATGATGTGTGGATTTGTCCTGTATACCTCATAGCCACATTCACAATGAATTTTCTAAATGTCCCATGAATGAAAATTTTATATTTATGCTTTGCAACTAAGAATTTAATAACATTGACAGGTTTAAAAGATTATTTTATAGTAAAATTTTAAGGATAAGATTTTACTATTAAACTAACTGCACACTTTTAAGCATAGTCATTTATTATATAAATTTAAAATACATTTTTCACATTTTATTTTTAAGAGGAAATAACTATACATGATCTTATTAAATAAATAAAATAAATGTTCTAAATATTCATACAATTTTCAAAATTTTTAAAATACTTCTAAAAATTTTATAGACATTTCTGTACATTTGTAAGTATTAAATCCATATTTATTAAAAATATACATGATGCTTATTAGATACCGAATAACTGATATTTGAATGACCAAATATTTTTCCTCTTCATTTTATTCTCAAATAATAGTGAGGCCCCAAATTTCAAAAAAATGATAAGCAAAATAAAGGCAGATTCTTTGGATATTTTTACTAGCATTCCCTACATGACTTAATGGTAAATCTTGGTATGATTTGAAAGGTTTAATAATTTTCAATAACAAATGGTATTTTGAAAACAACAGTATCACCTGTATATATTTTCACACTTATATTTTTAATATTACAGGTATTTGAGGAATTCAGTTGTCATATCTTGTCATGTATGCTTTCTAAAACTTACAAAATGAAACTTCAGTAAAGAAAGACAAACATAGAAAATAATGCTTTATTTTAAGAATAAACAAGGGCAATCGAACATACCTAGATAGAGAATCAGTTCTGTAATTCTGAAATTCATGCCTCAAAGAGTCCATTTCGCTTCTCATTTTACCCAGTTCTGCTATAATTTTATCCTAGAAAAATAAAGTTTAAATACAATAAATACAAAAAACTGCATATGTTAAAAATAACAGTAATATAATTATTCCAATCCGAGACTACTAATGAAGCTTGGATGCACATGAATCTATTTTACCTAACTTTAAAATAAAGTATGTTGAGAGTGCATATATATTATAAGTCATCATAAGAATATCTGAGGAAAAAAATGGTATTTTTTTAATTAAGTTAATATAGCCTATACTGATTTGAATGATGAAATGGTGTTTTTCATTTCCTGTACTATTTCCAAGTCTGTTTAAAATTATATTTATTTTATACATTTATGTACATAAAATTAAATAATAATGTTTGGTGATGTACAAGGAAAGAAGTAAAATAATATGCATTAGAAACTGCAGTACAGATAATAAGAGCAAATTATGCATTTTTGAGAATTGGATATTGTTGGAAGATTGATTGTAGATCCAATTCTGATCAAGCAAAATTGAATGTTGATCCAATTCTGATCAAGCAACTAGAAAACTCCATATTCACATAGTATGTGATCTACTACTTTTACTGCTTAGTTAATTATCTATTTCTTATATGATGCCACTAAAATGTTACTTTTAAATTCAGACTTACAGTAAAATGATGAGGGAAAAAATGTTCAAAACATTAAACAGTTTTAGTGCTGCCTTCAAAAAATAAATAAGTGGTAGATTGCTCATTACATGATTACTGAAAATTAAGGGGGCAGAAGAAAAGAAGCAATTGGAGGGGGGAAAAACACTCTTAAATTTTCTGTTTGTTTGATAAGAAATATATCTATGATCATTTCTTTCTGAACAATATAGGATCCTCAGAATTTATGAACTTTGGATTATCTATCTATATATCTATAAACATATATATACACACATTATTTTCAATCAAAAAGGGATAGAAAAAGTGAATATATTTTCCTTTCATTTGAATGAAATTTAATGAATGAAAAAATACAGTTTGTTTTATTCCTATTACTTCCACAGTAAAGTGATTATTGAAAAGATTAAATTTTTATAATTTAAAAGGGACATGTTTAAATTATTAATTATTCAATATATCTGAAATATAAATTCATTAGAAATATTATTATCATTAAATATTATTTAAGTTTTTCTGAAACATCAAATGGAAATAAAAGTCTTATTTCAAGATTATGTATAAGGTAGATTTGAATCATTCCAAGTGCTCCTAAATGAAATATTGAGAATTAGCAGAATTTGTAGCTCCGTGCTAACATACCTCAAGGGCAGGGGTATCATCTCAAGGCATGTGATGCACACGGCACATGCCTATAAATTTGAAATTGTGTAAAAAGGACTATTATTTCATTCGTACAATAAAATCCTTATTAATTACTATTTTATATACACAGTTTTGCTTTGAATCATGAAATTTATTTAAAATCAGAAATTCAAAAAAGATCAAACTGTATATTGTTGTCTTCTCTAATTTTGCCTGTGCATGCTATCTATATGGCAGCACCATGAGTAAAATAACATATTTCACAAGGACTAAGGGAAAACTTTACCCCTCTTTTTCTTTTGCAGCATTAGATGGATTTCCTAGTTACATGTTGCCTCAGCATAGCATTCAAGTAGGAAGAAATGAGGGTTTGCTGTTTAGAATTGAATTTGGCATGATTTATATCACACTTTAGGGAGTGCTGTTATGCAAAGGCGAGTGAAATTTACACTTAAAGTTGTTTAATTTAAGTTGGCTTATTGTATAGATATTTATTCTTGTTTATACGCTTCTTTGAGAATTCCACCTGATAATGCATTAAACCTGCATCTTTTTTTAGAAGTGATGCATCTTTTTTTAGAACTTTGAAGCATATATGAACATGAAACAATGGGCCTTTAAAGGACTTAATTCAACCAACATTTGGATTTTGAGTATGCATTGAAAAAAAATTGAAATAAAAAAACTTAATGGGCACAAGCAGCAAATATGAAGATAAAAATAAGAGACATACTTAAACTACATAATGCAAGAAACTAGTTAATTAATAGTTTATGCTATTAAAGAAAGGCTTTCTTTTGCCATGATCATTTTCTAGGTTATGAATTAAACAAGTTCATTGTGTTATTGGTATCTAATTTAACACATGATGAACTTTGTTCAGATCAAGACACTTGAATTCAGCTGGTATCCTGTTCTAGTGCTTCTCAATTTTTTTTTAATGAAATCATGATTCTAGTCAGAGTGCACTTAAGCTTCAAATCAGACAAATGTCATTGTACACCTGATTTTCAGTATTAATGGGGAATACTGTTAACAGAAAATATTAGTGCCATATTTTATTGAGCAGTTAATAAAGCTGATATTGGTATTAGAAACTGAATAAATGATGGAATTTCCATGAAGAGACCAAAGTGTGTGGAAAAACTTCAGCTGAGGAAGAAAATCTACCTTTCAAAAATATAAACCCAAAAAGAAATTTTTATGAACTTATATTCCTTTGTCAGAATACGTTTGAGTGGATTAGAAGCCAAAACAAAAATACACATATATCTCAGTGCGAAGAAAAATATTTTTCTTCCCACTGAGAAATAACATGCATTTTTGTTTTCCTCTGAACAAAAATATTTCTTTTTGTTTCATCTTTTCTCTGGACTATATAGCTGTTAGTGGAGGCTGGCTACTAGTTTGAATGGCAAGGTAAGGATTTGAATCCCATGTAAGGATTATTTATGTGTTATTACAACTTTGCATGAGAGTAATATCAGACCATCTCTAGTGGTGCTCTCTGTATTATGTTCTCGGTTATGAGATAACTGCACAACTGATTGGATCGGCAATTATTAACAAATACAAATATATGACAAATATGTGTCCAGACATTAAAAAAAAAAAGAAAAAAAAAAAAAAAAAAAAAAAAAAAAAAACCTACTTTTTGTTTCCTATATCATGTTTTATTACTACAAACTTTTCATTTCTTTAATTATTTCATTTAATGTTTTTGAGTTTACATTAATTTATTATTAATTTACTCTCTTTTCATTAGATTTTTGATATTTTAACTCATTATTTACTTAATTATTACTAACTTAATTCATTAAAATTTTCATCCCTTTAATTTAATTTCCTTATTTATTGCTTTATCTATTATTTTATTAATTTATTTTTCCTTCCTGTTTCTGTCAGCATTCTATAGAGTTCCAACACTTCTAATTTTAGAAATGAAGTCCTAGCTATACTATTAGAGCAGGTTTAGAGTTTTTCATATATGAGTCATAAAGAAGACATGTTTGGTAAATTAAGCAAATGAAAATATCTATAAACATATGATAATAAAAGCAATAAAATATTAAATCAATTCATAAATTACATACATGCGTTTATAAAACAAGAACTACCATAATCAGTCTACTGATTATGCAAAAAGATAAAAATTACAGAAAATTGATAAATTAAGTAAAAAAAGTACGCACAGTTCTGCACAAATATTTCTTGCTGCTTGAACTGAAGGATTTTATACTTCATATAAAAAATCATATGAGTACCACACAAAGGAAATAATGATTTCTTGGTTTATTTCAAACAAAAGGCACACTTTCAGATCATAAAAAACCCATACACAAAATAAACAATTTTTGTTCCTCCAAACAGAATGTGTATCAAAAAATGTGAAATTATAATATGGCCAAGAAAATAAGCAAAAAGCTTGATTCTAATCATAAGCAAATCTGCGAACTTTCGTGAATGCAGGGAATTTTTTTCCCTTCTAATTTCAATTTATACGAAATTTTGTTAAATATATCTAACATCCCTTTAATTTTATTAAACATATCCAACAACAACATGTCTTACAAATTATTTGAATTGAATGTTCTCTGTTTTGCTCTCGCAACTGAAAATAAACTTGAGCATAAATTTATATTATATGTAAATACATCAGTATTCATAATATGATAAGTGAGGATAATATGAAAAGACTGAGTTATTGATTTTGCTATTATCAACATTACTAGTGTTCAACTTTTGTCTGGTGCTAGAATGAATGAATAATCGATTGGCATAATTTATTTACTGATTAAACTTGGAAATAATTTATTGTGCGATATGCATCAAAAAAGCAAAATTGAATTATGACTAGAAAACTGAATTATGACTGTTCACAAACATTATATGAAAAAAAATTCTATACCAGCATTTCAGACCTCAGATGTGATGAATTTTCAATTTTTATTTTGTGCACTTCATTATTTTACATGCTGTGCAATATTTAACTATATATTAATAAGAAAATACTATTATAATATAATTTCAAATACATGTAATTCTAACTTACATTCATAAATTCACTTTTTTTCTTAATGTGGTGCTCAGCAGCATGCCCTATATGAAGACTTAGGGAATATCCCTGCTTAAGGGCATGACTATATTGTTTCTTTTATTGCAGTGAGTTTTATGTTTTGCTTCAGAAATCACCTTTTGAAAAGTTACCGGAACTACAGACAACTTGCACAGTAGCACACAGCAGAACTCAAGAATTTAATTTGCATAAGCGATTCCTTAAAGAAACTTGCACTACTGTGGATGCTGATTCACAGCAATACAGATTTCAAAATTGGCTTCCTTCAAACTCAACAACTGATGTAAATACTGTAAGTATTCTCAACATTGTTTGCTCTGACTAATGAAAAAATATCATCAGAAGTTGGGAGACAAAACAAAAAAAATTTTCATCACTTATCTGCACTTGCATTGTGTCTTTTAATTCATGCATCCAAAACAGAAATATATATATATATGTCTTATATTTATATGGCTGATACAGATAAAATTTTAATAAACTATGCAGAGATGAGAGAGAACAATTTTTATATGCTCCAACACACAAATTCAAATTGGTTAAACAGTATCTGTTACAACCTAATATAAAAATACTGTGGTATCTTGCATATTTTACAGATTTATATAACGGAAATTTTTATTTGCTTGAAATTCAAGAATACAAGGTTCAAAAGACTTATCAAAGATATTATCACCTTTTCAGAAAATCATCTAAAAAAAATACTGTTTTCATCTAAAAGAAAAATTCCTTTCAATAACTTTAAGAACACTTAGCATCAGATTAAGAGGCTAAGCTGAAAGGCACTGCCTGACATAATAGTAAACCATCAAAAGAATAAACAAATTTATTTAAATAATATTGAAATGCACTAAGACCATTTTACAATAAATTACTTGTCATTCTATATAAACACCAGGAACATTTTTAGATTAATATTTATACTCATCAACAAGAATTTAGTTCACAATAATACAAAATTACAAAGTTATGAACACATTTCATTAAATGTTTCAAAACAAAGGTAATGTATCAAATACTGCTATTTGAAAATTAAGCATTTAAACTGAGCTATGCAATAAAATAATAACTCAAACTATAATTTTACAACTATCAAAATATATGAAAAATAGAAAGTGAAGATAAGAACCTTTTCTGATTGAGTGTCTTCTAATAATTTTTGAGTTCTGTCTAAATTTTGAGCAAGTGAATTCTTTTCCTCCAAAGCATGCATCTTTTCTTTCAGATGCATTTGTAGCCTTTCATTAGATTCAGCAAGTAATTTATCTACAGTAGCAGCTAATCGTTGGTTATGGTCTTCATTCATTTTTTCTCTTTGCCTAGCCTATAATAAATAATATTAATAGAAAACAATTAATTGTGCAAATTTAAGTGCATTTACTGTAAATTTCAATAGAATTCTGCAAAATCAGATTATTGTTTGTGTCAGAGATTAAATAATAGCTTAATCTTAAATGTACACATTTTCTTAATAACATGCAAATCTTCATAAAAATAAATTCATAATCAACTCCTAATTAACAGGCCTTGTCTAAAAAAAAGGAAAATTTGTTTATTGCAGAATGATGTAAAAGTTAAGATCACAAACCATCAGCAAAGCAAAACTGTTTACAGAAAATATGGCGGGGGCACATACATAAGAAACATTAGTGACAGAAGATGATTGATCTGATGAAAGAAGAAGATCTGGTAATTGTGATCACCAGGGGCCTATAGATACACCAAAATGTGCCAACTACTCTGGACCTCATAGAGCATCCTATAGAGGATGCCTGAAGTTTCCTTCATACAAAAAGAAAAATAACAATGTTAAGAATGCTGCAGTTAAGCCAGGAGTTAGTTATGCACAGGCTATGAAGCCTCCCAACATGGAAATCAAAACTGCACAAAATTCAAACATTTCATCTCCCAATGTGTCACCTGCTGCTGCTGCAAGTTCTCAATTTAAAAAGCATGATAATGTACCTAGTACCATGGCAAGTGCCTCTAACAAAACTGAACAATCGAGGTTATTAGAACTTTTCAAAGTTATGAATCAATTTCGAAAAGAGTCAGGACTTAATGTCCCTCGCATGATTAAAGCCTTTAAAAATAAAATGAATGCTCTCAAAGAGTGCACTGATATGTTAGACAAAATGTATGTTTCATACCACATACTTGATGAAATACACGGGTTAACAAACCAAAACTAATTATGGACAGAGAGCTCACAATTGTAACTTGGAATGCAAATAGTTTGTATCACAAAATTAATGAACTTCGTGAGTTTGTAAATGAATACAACCCCGATGTCATTCTCCTCCAACAACACAAGCTGAGCCCAGGAGCCACTGTCAATATCAACAATTATCTTGTCTACAGACTGGATAGACCCAGAACAAGTCATAGTCCAGGGAGAGTCCTACTTCTCCTGATTAAATGCTCTATCACCCACCACCACACTGCAATTCCACAGTTTATAGGGCTAGAAGCCTTAGCTATCACCATCACACCACTCACCTCTAGGCCACTCGCAATTATCTCCGTCTATATACCACCATTCAGCAGATCACATGCCAATTCTTTGAGTGATTTCCCAGGCTCTGGCAAAACTCAACCATAACATAACATTAGGCAGAGATTTTAATGCACAACACCGTTAGTGGAACTGCAACTCTATCACTTATCTAGGCACTGTAATTCATCGTTTTTCAAAAAAGGCCGGAATTACAATTGCAGCTCCACAAGACTCAACACACTATACCAGTGCGTCTGCGGTAGTCCTGGATGTTTTCATGATTTGGGGCTGTGCTCTGAATCATGTTGAAAGTCTCTCGGAGCTATCGTCAGATCACAACCTACTTATTATGCAACTGGATGTCACTAGCTACAGTACACCACACAAAAAGACCTTTGTCACGAACTGGTCTGGTTATGGCAAAGCCTTAAACAACACACCACTCTTCTTTCCAACACTACACACGGGTGATGAGCTAGATGCCTTGGTGAAAAATTTCACTGCAGAAATGCAGGAAGCTCTGAGGAGCAACAGTAAGGAAGTCACTAGCAGGAGAAAATCCTGCAACAAACAGGTAAGAGACCTTATTGGAAGGAGAAATGCTATGTGAAAGCAATGGCAAATATCCAGATATCCCCCGGACAAAACTCTTCTTAACCAGCTCAACCACAAGTCAGACTCCTGACACATACACACACTGACTCACACTGGGCCACTTACCAATCCTCCTTGTCGGGGGAAGATAACTCAGTCTGGAGGGTAACCTCCAAACTGCAGAGATGCCACACCAACATTCCGCTCCTTAAAGGCCAGAACAGAATTGCTTATACTGAGGCTGAGAAAGCCGAGTTGCTAGCCGATCACTATGCTTCTCAGTTCTGCACAAACAACATGCCACACCCTCCTACAGAAAATATTGTTGCACAGACACTTACAAACTATACCTCACAGCCACACATAGACAATATTCCTCCTGTCATCCCATTGGAGGTCTTTAAGTATATCTCCAAGCTGAAAATCAAACAAAGTCCAGGCAATGATTGCATCTCAAACAAGATGATAAAGCTAATGGGAATGCGTATGCTTTTCAAATTCATCCAAATCATTAACTTTATGCTTTGCCTAGGCTATTTCCTAACATGCTGGAAAACTGTAATAATCGCACCAATCCTGAAACCAGACAAACCTGCTACCGACACAGTGAGTCATATGGGCCAGTGAGCCTACTGTCATCTCTGAGCAAGATAACAGAGTCTGTTATCCTTCAAAAAGTGCCGGAATATGCTGAAACGAACAAAGTGATTATTGCAGAGCAATTTGGCTTTAGAAGAAAGCACTCAATCGTGCATCAGTTATACAGAGTGACTGAAATGATTGCCTCAGGATACCAAAAGAAGGATACCAAAGAAGAAGATATTACTGGTGAAATTTTCTTAGATGTTTCTAAGGCCTTCAACAAAGTTTGGCTGGCCTTAGAAACATTTAAGAAAATTGTTATTAATTAAGAAAATTGTTAATTAAGTATAATCACCCTAGGTTTCCCAGGATACATCACCAACATCATTACTTCCAATCTAACAGATAGACACTTTATTGTTCATGTCAATCACACTACCTCATCCCCCAGGCCCATCAGAGCCGGGTCCCCCAGGGCAGTCTTTTAGGCCCAATTTTATTCAATATTTACATGAATGATATCCCACAGACACCACAAACCACTTGGCAATGTACGCAGATGATACTGCAATTCTTACACAAAGTGCATCTCAAGGCCCAGTTATACAGGCACTACAAAATCACATCCAGGCACTGGAGTGCTGGCTGAACTCCTGTAAAATTCAAATCAATGTTTCAAAATCTGATGTCATATTATTCACAAAAAAGAGGAATCTTGATCCGAACCTCCATGTTTTAATATGTATGGAACCCATACCCTGGGTAAAGCAAGTCCACTACCTAGGTGTTACACTTGATTATTTGCTCTTATGGTCTCCACACATTACAAATATTATTACCAAGTTCTGAGGACATAAAGTTACACTCGCACCCTTAATTGTTCAGAACAGCGTTCTTTCGACTGACAACAAGTTACTCATTTGGCAAACCATGATGCGAACAATCCTCACCTACGCCTGCCCCGTGTGGTATGGTATGTTTGTAATAACACCATGCAGAAACTGCAAACTGTACAGAATGTAATTTTGAGAGAAATGGTGAACTGCCAATGGTTTATAAGAACACGCCAATCCCCTGAGAGTTAAACATTACTGAAATTCATGTATATATTGCCAAACTGGGAGAAAAAATTTTCCGGAAAATCCCGGATGTCAATAACAGTGTTATTCCTGTTTTCAACTATGATGTTTCTGCAAATGTAAATAGAAAATGGCCAATGGCTGCTTTAAGACACATCACTTAATTTTTTACATTGTTTTGTATTGTATACTCAGTTAATCTATGTTCCTAATGATAATTAGCCCCACTCTTACCTTGTTATACCTCTTATGTTCCTTTCCATTTATGCTTTCTCTTCTTTACTGCTATTATTATGACACACTATTACTGGCATATCTTTGTAAACCTGCTTATCTGTTGCTTCACACATTACTCAATGCCTCACAGTACCGTCTGCCTTTTTTTTTGATTTGCCGCAGCACTTGATGATCTTGAGCTGAGCATTTTTTCGTGTTCGCAAACATCGCTTGATGGACTATGATGTGGACTCTATATTTTACTTGACATGATTTTATTCCTTTCCTCCATATTTCATATGGACTTCACCGAACCACAAGAGAATTATGAATTCACATGTGTTCGAAAATCTTTAAATGTCATGTTATACTGGGATAACGAAAGCATCGCGGGAACCCGCGTTGGTATCGCGCCTGAACCGAAGATGATGTCAGAGTACTTGTGAGTTGATTTAATCCAAACCATAATATAGTTTAATTGTATGCAATCCAGAATACATAAACATTGCATAATAAAAATAAGAAGTTTTAACATATTTTTCATGTATATTTCAACTCAATGACATTTAATAAATTCTCTTCTAAATATTATTCTCAACTCATTTTCATCATTCCCACTGACAATGTATTTCATCCCTGTTTTGAGTATATTTTTTCCAAATATCATGTACTTTCATTACATTAATTTGTGAAACAGCTGTAATACAGCATTATTGATAAAATTTGTACATATTTGCTATGATACAAAAGGTCACCACTTTAAACACACATTCAAAACTCATGTGAAAAGAGGAATGATACAACTAGAATTTCTTAAGTCTGGTCCTTAATCTGGTATCCATAATTAAATGTCTACAGTAAAACCTTACTTCTGTTCCATTCTAAGCATCGATTGAATCAAAAAATACATGAAGAAAATTTTGTATAAGGATTTTATTTGATTTTGTAGAAAAATTAACAACATAAATTATAGTAAGATATCTGACCAAAGAGAATTTATTTATATATACCTTCTGACCATTTCTCTGTGCATGTTATATACAGCCAAATTGACAGATAGAGATTAAAAATATGAACTACATAAAGAGAGATATTAATAGATCAAAAGTTTTAATACAGTCAAAAGTCGTTAATCCGGACGCCCATAATCGGGAATGATCTATAATCCGGACCTCAAAGCTACAAACTTTCTGCGCATGGGTCAACCCATAATGCGTTCACGCATGTGCATATGCATTCACGCATGCACGTATACTTTTACGCATGCGCATAAACATGCACACATGCGCTTTTAATGTATAACGGATGGTATAAGCTAAGCTAAAATCATCTAATTATCTATTTCAGTTAATGTTG